AACATGCTGTTAATCGTAACAAAACGCTGTTTTCAATTTTCAATCTCTTTTTTGGACTACCCCTGACATATCGGACTGTAGTACAAAGGTTTCATACACAAGAATACCGATTGGGCTCTCTATAGAAGAAAATAAAAAAAATAATTTAGGTGGACTTTTTTGAGAAATACGTGTTTAAACTTATTCGAAATCGTAAAAAACCTTACATTTCAAGGTAACATAACTTTTAAATTTTTAATAGAAACTTGTCGCTTTAGTACCATTGAGTTGACAATTCACTTGGCTATCAAATGATCCAATACTTTAACTACTCAGTAAACAACCAATTGATACATCGCATTTTGCGCACAGACACCTGTTTTTCAGAATTTGGTCAAACTTTGTATGCCTTTCTTGACCACTTCCGGTGATTAGCGGATTTTCATTTATAGTTCATGGGCTAGTTTGGTCCTTCGACTTCATATTCCTGAAGTTTCAGAAAAATCATAGGCGCCGTTTTAAAAAAATAAGAACTGTACGATTTGACCAAAATGTGAAAAAAGTGAAATATCAAATATAAGTCAAATTTCAAAATTCCAAAATATAAAATTTTAGAAAATTTAGAAAATTTTCCAATTTTCACCAAAAATATGAGAGCGACAAAGTTTCTAAATTCAACTTTTTTGAACTGCTATCTGCTCAGAAATGTCTCCGGCTATCCAAAAATGTAAATATCTGAAAAATCGGTTGAGAATTAACAGAATTATCGCAGATTTTCAGTTTTCGTACACGTTAAAGATTTGACGCATTTCCACTTTGCACACAAATTTTGTTTTATATTTAGACACTAACTACCACCCAGTTTCCTGAGAGAAAATCAAACTTCAGACCTCTATCTTTTTTAGTTGCTGAGAAATAGGCAAAATGGAAAAAAATGAGCCAACAGTGAGACTGATGTCCCCCGCCGAAATATCAAAATAAATAGATGACACATACTAATTAATCGCACATTTATTTTTTTCAAAAGATTCGAGTAATCAAACTACATACTAAGTTTCATCACTCTCTATCAGATAGAATCAAGATTATCTTGTCCCAAAGCATCGACCAATGAAATTGATTAGCTCTGCTTAGCTATTTAGCTTGAAATGTTAATCATTGAAATCAGTCAAGACATTCACCTAATGAAAATCTACGTCAGGTTTAAACCTTCTACCTCAATTAAAAGCAGAGTTTTTATGTCCCAAAGTCTTGACCAATCAAATTGCTTATCGCTCCTTAGCCCAGGCAATGATATAATGAATCTATATTCATAGTTTCATCGCTCTCACTTCATTATAACCAAAGTTATCGTGCCCGTTAGGCATCAATCAATCAGATTGCTTATCTCTGCCTACCATAAGCAGACAATATTCATAATCGAACTCCATCAAGATATTCACCTAATGAATGCCTACACCAAGTTTGAACATTCTACCTCACTTAGAAGGAGAGCTATCGTGTTCCAAAGTCTCAACCAATCAAATTGCTTATTGCTCTGCTTCCCCTCAGCAGAAAATGTTCATTATCGAACTTAGTCAAGGTATTTATGTAATAAAGCTATACACCAAGTGTCCTCACTCTCACTTAATTAGAACTAATGTTATTGTGTCCCAAAGCATCAACTAATCAAATTGCTTATCTCTGCTTACCCTTTGCACAAAATGCTCAGCTTCGAACTCCATCAAGGCATTGACCTAATAAACACCTACACCAAGTTTGAACATTCTAGCTCAATTAGAAAGAGAGTCATTGTGTCCCAAAAAGTGTCTAACCAGGCTATTTCTGACACGTGCGTGTTAAATCAAAATTTGGAAAGTAAAACTGTTTTACCGTGCGATTTATCATTCAACCGTGTATTTTACGCAGGTCTTTGTATAATTAAGGACAGGTTTTTGATATGTGCTCACTATATGATAAACGTTTCTCTTGTGCTTCTTTTGTATTTTTATTTGACACCATACGCATTATATATGCTGCGTACCCTAGTCAGGCTACTTATCTATAAAATAATGAAATCAAAATGAAGTGTTTCATATTATATTCATGAACGTGATTTTCATAAGAAAAAAGGCAATACTCTGCAATTTAAACATTTTCGTAATAAAGTTAAATCTCTTATTCGTAGTAATAAAAGGAAATGTCTTGAATTATTAGTCACTGATCGCAAAAACAGTAAACAAATTTGGAAAGCCATCAATACTGCTAATTCTGAGGGTAAATCTCATGATTGTTCTTCCATTCCTGTTGCCCCTGATATTTTTAATGCTCATTTTGTTAATGTTGCAAAGTCCATTATACCTAGTCCATCAAATCATTTAGATCGTTTTACGTCTAATGTGATATCTACATTTGTATCTAATCATCTTGAAAACAATACCTTGTGTCATCTTCCCTACATATCAAAATGTGATGTATTCCAATATCTTCATTCTCTTGATACTTCCAAATCAATAGGATTAGATCAAGTTGGTCCTCATTTTCTTAAACTTGGTGCTCCAATTCTTTGTGATTCATTGACATTTATTTATAATCTTTGTATAGATAAGAATATTTTTCCGTCCACCCTTAAACAGGCTAAAGTTCTTCCATTATATAAATCAGGTCCAAAATCCCAGCCCAATAATTATCGCCCCATATCTATACTTCAAACTATTTCTAAACCCTTGGAAAAGCATATTTGTAAACACATTAATAACTTTCTCCTGGATCACGATTTACTTTATTCTCATCAGTCTGGTTTTAGGTCCAAATTTTCTTGTCATACTGCCCTTACAAATATTGCAGAAAATGTTTATTCTGCCATTAATAAAGATCAATACACTGGTTTAGTATTCTTTGATTTCCGTAAAGCCTTTGATATGGTCAATCACTCCCTGTTACATGAGAAACTAAAATTATACCAAATTTCTACCAAATTATGCACATAATTAGAATCGTACTTATCTGAGCGTTATCAATGCACTCAAATTGGTGAAACCAAGTCCTCTCTTGATCTCACAACCCATGGTGTTCTTCAAGGCTCCATTCTTGGACCACTACTATTTAATCTGTTTATTAATGACCTTCCTCTAAATTTGACAGCCCAATGTGATCTTTTTGCTGATGATACCACTGTATATTCTTCTTCTACCAATTTTGATTCTCTTAACTCTACACTTCAGTCAGAAACTGATAAAATCATACAATGGTGCAACTCCAATGACATGATCATCAATGAATCTAAAACTAAATGTATGATTATTGCTTCAAAACCTAAAATAAATTCCTTATCTACACATTTGTCCATTTCTATTAATTCTACCTTCATTGAACACGTTTCTGACTTTAAACTCTTAGGAGTATATTTTGACTCTAATCTTTCTTGGGACACTCATGTAAACCATTTATGTACTATTTTAAAACAGAAAAACTTTCAACTTAGGAAAATCAAATCATTACTTCCAACTGATGTATTAAAATTATTTTATAACGCTCACTTTCAATCACATCTTGACTACTGCTCTACCATTTGGGACTCTTGTCAAATTTCTTCTCTTAATAAACTTAAAATTATCCAAAAATTATCATTTAAAATTATATTCAACAAACCTATTATTAAATATAATTCTTCTGATTCTTCATATTCCATTCTTTCAAAATCTTTAAAACTGCCTACCATTCAACAACGTCATTTAATGAATAAATATATATTTCTGTTCAAAATATTAAACTATAAAAGTCCAAATTACTTGTGTTCCTTATTTCAATTTAAAAATACTCCTTACAACTCTATAAATCTTAAATTACAAATTCCACATCCAAATTGTACTAAATTTAAACATAGTCTTAGTTATAATGGACCAGTTTTATGGAATTCACTTCCAAATAATTTAAACTCATTACATGTTCTCTCAACTTTTAAAAAATCACTGCATAATTATATCCAAAATGTTATATAACTATTCTGTATATTTAAATTTAAACCATTATCGGTTTCTGCATTTGATGTTATTTGGAATGTAAAGAATACATTTTCATTATTCAGTTTCCTTGTATGTATAATATATGTGTATGTTTGTTTTGTCTATTGTCATTTAAGGGCAGAATTGTAAACAGGCTGCAAAGCCTAATTTTTCACCCTTTTGAAAATAAAGAACTTATTATTATTATTATTATTATTATTAATCTATCGTACGGAAAGGCGAATGCAATGTCGTCATTTATAAATACCAAGCAGTCTGAGCCCAATTTGAGTCAATCCAGCTAAAACTCATTTTTCTAGAATACAGTTCTTAAGTTGCAATTTTGATAAATTGAATGAAGATGGACAATTAGGTGTAAAAGAAATATATAGTTGATTATCATCGGCATACAAATGAAAGCTGAGACAATATCACCTAATGGTGACGTATAAAGGGTAAATAAAATCGAACAAAGAACAGAACCTTGAGGAAACCCAGATGACAAAACAGATTCAAGTGACGATTTACAATTAACTAAAAGACACTATTTTCTACCAACAACATAGCTTTCTAATAGAAAATGCAGAGCCACAAATGCAGAATTTAAGATGAAGTCTACTTAAAAGTACAGAAGGATCCACCATTTCGAAAGCAGCAGATAAATCTAATAAAATTAAAAATGTACATTTTCTATTATCTATTTCCAGTAAAATATTATTTGATACCTGGGTTCAAGCTGTTTCAGTACTGTGAAATTGTTTATAGGCACTTTGAATTGGTTCAAAACTGTAGCCTCTTATTGGCTTTCAAAAGTATGACTGGCAAGGATTATAGCTGACAAATTGATTTGTTTTAGCAATCAGCTATTTCAAACATCAAACGATTGTAGATAAAGATCTATGGATATACGGCAATAAAAATAGTACATTTCTTACGTTTTGATAAAGCCTTACCATTGTTACCTTTTAGTAGCATACACACATAAAGTAAGTCAAATTTAAGTTACCCTGATGTCAAATTTGTCCTTTAAATTCTTACCTCTTACAGTCTTCTGCTTCATTTCTAACAGGGATCCTCTTGCTGCAGATACTGGGAAAAGAAAAAATTTCTTATAAATTATGTTTAATTTATACTATAGCATGGTTTTCATGAGTAAGCAGGTTTAAACACATAGGTACTTCGTGGACCAAGGTGTTCAACATTTTCCCGAATGAAATGTGCTATAAATGACATGTAAAATTTACACGTCAGTAGTGACAGGTGTCTCAGATCAATGCACACACTGTCTCTTATATTATTAAAAGGCTGATCCCCTTGCACAAGCATAGTAGTCCTGTCTACGCAGGGATGTGATGGGGGCTGGGCTATACATGTCAATAATACTTTCAATGCTTGTTATTACATAGTAATCCAAAACCACTTTATATGGTGCAAAGACTAGCAAAAGTATGAAATAACAGTGACAAGCGGTTACCATACAAGATTATCTCACATTTTGCAATGGAGAACAGGCAAAATTAATTGGGCCCATCCTCTCATTGTCCCAATGCTTCACATCAAATTAAAAAACCAGTGGTTGCCAGGCAAAATACGCCCACATTTTGCAAGAGATGAATGGTGAACAAGCTGATTATGACAGTATTAGTATTGATAGGCCAAAAGACGTTTCGTTCGTCGATTTTGATCCTTTGACGGAGAATACCAAACTAGATGATACATGGCCGACCCCGGACATTACCGGGGCCCTATTTGATTTTGATAATGACTTTAACTTTGGCAGTCAGACTCAAGGTACTGCAGAGGAATGTAGGCCTAATGATAATACTATATCAAACGATTTTGTATGGGATTTACCCAAGTTAAAGGCACCAGAACTTGGTTCGCCTATTTCAGACTCGCTTGCTTCTTTAATTAATACTGCTTGCACCTCAATGTGTTTGACAGACACTATTGTATCAAAATATAAAATTCCGTCGAACTGTGATAAAATGGGGCCACCCCGTGGATCCAGAAATATGGAGTGAAACTGACTGAAAGGCACACAATACTGATCAAAGATTGAGAGATATCCAGGAGCTTGTGGCTATTGGGATTATTCCTTTTGTTAAATTAGCAGCCTTGTTAAAGGATCAATATTCTAACAATCCAGAGGTTAGAAGCCTTATTTCAGATTCAATCACTTTATTGGGTCAGGTTCAGTATAATATATCCTTAAGAAGAAGATATTTAATTATTACAACCTACGTTACATCCTAAGTACTTTAATTTGTGTAACCTGAATACACCGATCACTACTTTCCTTTTTGGGATGATGTTGGCAAGGAGATCAGAAAATTTGACTCTTCACTGCGTTTAAGACGTGAAAAACCTCTTTTTTATGCTGCAACTCCAAGTATCCGGGCCGTGGCAGTGCCCCTAGTCAGTCAGTCTACAACAGACCATGCCCTTTTTCGGCCTACAACAGACCACACCCTTATAACTACAGAGGTCGGACAAGACCAGGTAGAGGTGCCTTTCAGTTTCAAGATTCAAACACAAAAAACAGTTCCACCTAATACGAAAACGGTAGGTGACATTTCTAAATGTTTGGGTGAATGGAAATTGCTAACCTCTGATAATTGGATTTTAGAAACCGTTCAAGGCTGTAATGATTTTATTCAAGACCCTATCCAACATTCTATCCGAAAAGAAATTACTTTTTCCAGTGAAAAAGCAGCTATTATTGATAATGAAATTTCTGTCTTGTTAGCTAAAGGTGTCATTGTAAAGTCTGTATTGCATAAGGGAGACTTCATCTCCAATATTTTTATAGTTCCAAAACCAAATAACAAGTTTAGACCAGTGATTAATTTGCGGCAATTAAATTCTTTCATTGTTTATGAACATTTTAAACAAGAAACTTTTGATTTTGTTCTAGATCTTATTCAAAAGAATGATTTTTTAACATCCTTAGATTTGCAGGATGCTTACTATAGTGTCAAAATTAATTGTGAGTTTTTTCAATACCTTAAGTTTTTTTGGAGAAATCAACTTTATCATTTTGTAGCCCTTCCCTTTGGAATTGCCTCTGCACCTAGAGTGTTTACAAAACTTTTAAAGCCAGTCTATACTTTTTTCAGACACCAGGGCATACGGTGTACTTATTATATTGACGATTCGCTTATTATGGATAAGGATAAGGATATATGTACCAAGTTAATGGCAGATAAATTACAGTCACTTGGTTATTTGGTTAATTACAAAAAGTCAGTTTTTCAACCTGCACAAAAGCTAGTAGTAGTGTTTTTTGGCTTTATAATTGATACAGTTACTTTTAAAGTTTACTTAACAGATGAAAAAATTAATAAATTATCAAATATTGCATCTAATCTACTTAAAAAGCATCCCATAACTGTACGTCAATTAGCTTCTTCTATAGGTCTAATTGTTAATGCATTTTATGCGATTTTAGAAGCACCTCTCCATTATTGGGCTTTAGAACGAGATAAAATTATGGGGTTAGGTTCCAGTATGGACTATGATTCGGTGGTTAATTTACCAAAAGAGAGCTTGATTGAGATACAATGTTGGCTTAATAATGTCTCTGAGAAAAATGGCAAACTGATCAGACCTTGTCCAGTCCAGTTATGGATCCAGACCGATTCTAGTCTCTCTGGATGGGGTGCTTTTTGCCCAGATCTTGATTTGTTATGTAATGGTCGTTGGTCTATTCTAGAATTCAACTATCACATTAACTATTTAGAATTATTAGCTATTTTTATGTCCTTAAAATTTATAGCTTCCCTTTATGAGAATGTTCACATTGGGGTTCAGTCCGATAGCATGTCCGCTGTCACCTATGTGAACAACATGGGAGGTATGGTGTTTAAACCTATGGATGACTTAGCAAGAACTCTGTGGGAATGGTGTATAGATAGAAATATATTTGTATCTGCCTCCTTTATACCAGGGGTTTTGAATGTTTCTGCAGATTTTGCATCAAGAAATTTCTCTGATTCAACAGAGCTCCATTTTTGATAGAATTTGTTCAGCCTACTTTACACCAAACATTGATCTCTTTGCATCAAGTCTCAATTGTCAACTTGATAATTTTGCAACCAGGTTTCCTCAACCCAGGGCCTTGTTTACCAATGCTTTTTCAGTATCATGGAGCGATCTACAGCCATATATATTTCCTCCTTTTCGGATTATTAGTCAGGTTATTAATAAGATTTTGGAGGATAAGGTTCAGAGAGCCATTTTAATTATACCACACTGGCCATCACAGGCCTGGTTTCCTCAACTAATGTCTTGTATTGTTTCTCATCCTATCAGGTTACCACGTCATATAGATCTGCTGACATTAAGTCACAGTGGTCAGCTTCACCCTCGGGCGAAATCTATGGATCTTGTTGCAACTATGATATCAGCCAATTCTTGCGCAGTAGAGGACTACCACAGCAAGCTATTACCACAATCATTGAATCCTGGCGACCCGGTAGTCGCAAACAATACGATTTGGCCTGGAAAAGGTTCAACCTTTGGTGTTCTTTATGGACGATTAATCCCATTCAAACAACTGACGTAAACGTAGTATCATATCTTAATTTTCTAAAAAAACATTGGGAAATCAAACAGTGTTATTAATAGCATAGGTCAATGTTGTTAGAGACACTTAAATTGGTTGGGTAGGAATGGTGTCATAATTCAGTGTTAGTTTCTAGATTTATGAAAGGACTCTCAAATAAGTGTCCACCTAGGCCACGTTATGAATTTACATGGGATGTTCCTGTGGTTGTATGAACTTTTTCCTTTGGAAACGCTTAATCTTAAAATGCTAACTTTGAAAACTGGTGCTTTGTTGTCATTATCCACTGCGCACAGGGTGCAGTCCTTAAAACTGATGAATTTGGATAATATGGTGATACACAAGGACAAGATAGTCTTTGCGTTTACCGATTTTTTGAAAACTATTAAGCAAGGAAAGCCTACAGTGTTGGAAGTAAAACACTTTAACAAAGAGGAACTTTGTGCCATGCATACGTTACTTTTTTACTTGGAAAAGACTAAGTTGTTACAGAAAAGTAATCAAGTGTTCATTTCGTACTGTTCGTTTAATCATGTTTCAGATGACACTTTGTCGCGTTGGCTAAAAGAAAGTCTAAAACTTTCAGGAATAGACACTAATATTTTTAAGGGACATTTCTTCCGTTCAGCCTCAACTTCAGCAGTCTGGAAGGCTGGCTGTCCTGTTGCAGAGATATTAAGAACGGCAGATTGGTCATCAGTCAAGAATTTTACGAAATTTTATTTACGCGGTTCCACGGCATTACCAACACCAAAAAGGAACTTTGTTGATGCAGTATTTAGCACGCATCTGAAGACATGACATGTAGCATTATTAAATAAAATGGGATTTTTCATTGTTGTTCTTTTTTAAATGGAGTTTTGTTGTTCTCCTTGGGCATACCAGTGTGCACGAACTAGGAAAGGGGTCAAGGGTCAACATGTGACTTTTATAGTTGACTTTAAAGGAGCGTCTCTTACATACAACTGGATGTCATATGCTAAGTGAATACATGCTCAGCCTCCGGCCATACTCCAATATTGCCCCTCATCCATCATAATAACACTCGGATGAGGGGTCCATTTTTCTTCACTCGCTGCAGGACGACCGATCATTCCTCATGCATAATAATTGGCATGGTTGTAAAGCGGAGCCTTAAAGTTGTATTTCATGAATTAACATCTACACTTTTGATAGGTTTGCTATGAAATGAAATATGACATCGCAAAAAACACCAAAAATGACTTTTTCAAGGCGTTGAAAAACCTTTCTTCCGCGAAAAAGTGAAAAATTGCAACTTTGAGCCTTCATAAAAAAAATAATTTTCATCCGATTTTGAATCTGTAAAAAGTTTTGGGAGAAGAATGATGAGATCTACTTGAAAAACTAATAAAATCAATCTCAAAATCACCTTTTCCACCTAGTGTCCACAACCTTGATATACCATATATTTACACTATTTGTGACCATGTATATCAAAGTGAGTCGGAATATGCAAAATCTAATTTTGGACTAGAGACAAAATAAGTGAAAATATTGATATTACTCAAAATTGAGATTTTCACAAAAATGAGTTTATAAATATACTATCTATCGACACAAAAGATCAAAATAGCAATAAAAGATTTTAGAACACCTTTATTTGAACGTTTTGTAAGAGTACCGTATTCTTAAATCTCTCCTATTTGTTAAAATTCTAGGCGAAATTAGTTATTTTTCTCCGCTCGCTGCGGGACGACCGGTCATTCCTCTCGCATAATAATTGGCATGGTTGTAAAGTGGAGAATGTCTAGTTTACAAATATGATCAAATTAATGTCCATGAATTGATTTTGAAAGGATACAATCGAGTTTGAAACCCCCTAAAAAATATAAGCCACCCTCGGTTGTTGCTGCGCTGTCCACAAAACTCGTTTGCTGATTGGCCCAGACACCGAGTGAAAAGCATTATGGTTACGTGGCTGACTCGAGCGGGTGATAAATATTTGGTTTTGGCAATAATGTCTTGGGTGCCTACATGCGATTCACTCTCATAAGTGGCAGAAAAAAATTAATTCTGATCGTATATAGATTGCTGTTGAGTGTTAATCCAAACCACGTGGCTTATTATGTAAATTAATCGACATGCGGGTGGGTGTCATTGAGTAATATTAATCAACTGTCACAGGTCAATGATAAAGCCGTCGACAACTCCTCATTTACTCCGAATAATTAATCCAAGCAGTGATTATCTGATATCTCATATCATCTTTAAAAAAATAATTTAAAGCTTATAGGCCTTAAATGGAAATAAAAAAAATGGCCAATAATTTTCTTTTCGAAGAGAATTATATTGATATATGAATTCACTTTACTGTCGCTTCTTCATACGGCATGCAAAGTAAGGAATGCATCTTGGATATTATTGTTTAAAATTCTCTTATCACCATGGGTCGAAAAAATGAGAACGACCAACGAGCTGAATTGCCATTGTTAAATTACATCAAAGCCAGAATGCACGAAAGTGAACGTAAGTATTTCTTGACTATGAAATTGACATTTCTATAGGGACTCATATTTTGATACCGTTAACATAACAATAGACCTATCATACACGCAAAATCTTATTTTAATTCACGTGTTAAATGAACACGCGTACAGCTGTGGCGGCTTCTTTGATGATTATCCAATCAACAATCTTAATCTCCTGACCACTAGCTGGCACTAGGGTGCTAATTAATTGATGAGATTAACTGTTAATCTCACCAACGTTATAATATATATGCCCCATGTGTTATGGATGTTTCGTCGTGAAAGGAGTGCATTTACTACAATTTTCGTGGTCAGCACCCTTGAAATCCTAAATAAAAAAACTATTAAACGACAAAATAGCAAATAAATGGCGGAAATCGTCGGATAGAATTTTTACTACGATTTTCGTCTTCAGCACCCCTGAAAACGGCAAAACAGCAAATAAATGGCCTGGTTGCTATGGGATTTTGTTTTGGAACATACCAAATCTTTGACTTGCTTTTTCTCAAAACTTACTTTTGTGAGTTGGGTAGCTTCGAATGGACAGAGCTCAGTCAATTTTTGCCCGTTTCAAACAAACTATACATCGAATTGAAGGTAATGAGTTGGAGAATGTGAAAATAACAATAACTCAATTTTTTAAATTTCCTCACTATGACTCAGTATGCCATGGGGGGTCACATTTCTGTGCGAGAGGCGCCCATTTTGTCTGGCAGTTTTGGTCCGATTTGCACTGTTCGAACTCAACTATCATAAGGGTTTAACAGTGATATATTCATAGTTTTTTTTTAAATCGAATAAAAATTGTTACTTCTAGAGGGCCCACAATCTATAAACACGATTTTTCGTACAATCAGGGGCCCTAATTCAAGAAGTTACAATCCGATATATGCCAATATCGAAAGGAACCAAGACCTATATTTTAAGTTTCGTCAAAACTGAATAAAAATTGTTAGCTGTAGAGTGTCCACAAACAAATTATGGACGGCCAGAGGCGACAACAATGTACATCCACATGAAAATGTGGGCGTATAAAAATAACGAGGTGCACATACTTTTTAGGTGCGTGAATTTGAAACAGGTACGGGTCGGCAGTAGTCAGCATGCTTTCGTTCTATTGTAATCACGCTATTTTACCGAGATTTCGCCAAATAGTTTGGATGCAGCTATGGCGGGTGTGACACCAGGCAGGGTAAGCTTACTCTTCCGGACACCTGTTACCACTGTTTGTCGTGTATTACACTATTTTGCCTATACCGCTTTTTTAGGACTTCGAATATTGTCTAATGGTTTGGATTGTTCGTACTTGGTTTTATTTTATTTATTACGACAATTTTGTAATTTTGTAGGAATATTCGAACATAAATTCGAATACTGCACAGGAATTCAATATGAAATAAACCGAGGTGCACCTATTTTTTTTATTACGTACGAATTTGAATATTTTGTTGACACGTGACTTTTAATTGTGGTCTTAAATAATGATAACAGTTATGCCCCTGTTTTTTCGGTAAAAATGTACGTCTGGAAAAAGTTTGATTTAGCAACACTGCTGTAAACAGACGACTTCTTTGGTTGATTTACCGTTTTGTCAGGATTTTTTCTCAGTATAGTTGTCATTGATACAATGATGCCATGAACAGCCAACGGCTAAGCTTCATTAGATGAAGTGGTAGTTCCTGAATGTTTTTCACTAGATGTGGATTAGTTTTGTCACTTAATATAGTGTAAATTTGAATCACTTTTTGAGTTGGCTTCACTTTCTGTTTTTCCTCTTGCATGGTCTTTTTAATTCTTATGGTAATGAATAGTGCTAATATGAGGCTAACTAAATTTGCATACCATAATAGTCATATATGTGACCACCCATGTTTTGACTATACTCACATTCTTGAAAATATTTGGAGGAATCCAAGATCCAAGGTTGGGGTCCACCATTGAAAATGACATCTTTAGATGAAGATACAGACACAACAGTTTCTACTTTGGGATCAACAGGCTGAAAAAACAAGGTATAATTTATATATCAATTTCTACTGGTTATGCGTTCAAAACATAAAGATAGCAGTGCGATACGTGAAAATACGCCCAGGCAGCATACCTGGAAATAACTGGTCGGACACGGACAATGTCCAATCGAATTCCACGACTTGTCAGGTGAAACTTCCAAACAGTCTGTCATTTGTCTGAGGAAAAAATTATTGGTAGATTTTCGTTGTTTTCGGAAAATAAAAGTATGGTAGACTGCTACCTTTCGTGAATTTCTAACTTTATTTGCTATCGTACATGTAGCTCTACATTCTATAACTTGCATGTCACAACCCACAATCGGAAAATGCACATACAAGTCTATTAATCCACAGTATTACTTTTTTATCTGAACCAGCGGCTGCCAGGCAGGGTACGCCCACATTTTCGAGAGATGGATAGAGAACAAGCTAAAAATAAAGTGATTTTTCGTACAATCAGGGGCCATAATTCAGGAAGTTATGGTTCGATATGCACGAATATCGAAAGGAACCGAGATCTTTGGGTTATGAACTTACATTTCAAGTTTAAACAAAATCGGATAAAAAATTGTGACCTCTTTAGGGTCCACAACCTTGAAATACCATATTTTTACCCTTTTTGAGAACGAAGGGCGGCCATTTTGTCTGTCAGTTTTTGGCCGATTTTCACGGTGATATAATAATACGTTTTTTTAAATTGGATAAAAATTATGACCTCTATAGGGTCCACAAGCTAAAAATGTGACTTTTCGTACAATCAGGGGCCATAATTCAGGAAGTTACGGTCCGATATGCCCAAATATCGAAAAGAACCGAGATCTTAGGGTTATAAATTTACATTTCAAGTTTCATCAAAATAGGATTAAAACAGCTTTAACCCGGGTTTCAAATGATATTTTAATGGAATTTTAATGTACATTTTTAATTTTATTAGATTTATCTGCTGCTTTCGACACGGTGGACCCTTCCATTCTTCTACGTAGACTTCAATTTAAATTCGGTATTTGTGGCTCTGCATTAAATCTTTTAGAGAGCTATCTTGTGGGTAGAAAACAGTGTATTTTAGTTAAATGCAAATCGTCGTCCGAATTGACCATCTACGCATGTTTTCACCTGTTTGTCACTAGTTTATAGCATGATGAAGTATTTATATCTCAATAAATAAAACACGTATTCCCCCAAGTCATCTGACCTAATTCTACCGAAACGTCACATGCTGGGAATGGAATGGAGATGCACACGGCTCGTTGACTGGTTTATTTAATCATTTAAAAAGTTCAAAACAATTTCCAGAAATAACGGCTATGAATAATTTATTGGAAAATATGATCAAATCAAATAATTAGGTCGTTAAAATATATCATATAAATTAATATAATATAATTTTTAGCGTAAATAAAGACGTGACGTTAGAAAGGAATTCCAGGGGACGTTACATGTCCGCCGCACGAAGTTCATGTAATATAATGTCATGCACATGTCATGTGTGAAATCGTCTTTTGATAATCAAATTAGGCTACAGTATTACGGATATTTATAATAATCGGAATTCAACACCTCAACGGCGAAGTATTCATTTAAAACGCAAGTTTGGTACCATGATAGTTATATTTGGTAGAATTTACGTGGATACGGATTATAGAATTGCACGAATCTATAAAAATAGTTTAAATAGCGAAAATAGTCGTCTGCTAGTGCTATTTTTAAACAATAACGGTGCAGTAGGCTTGTATAACCAGTCATGCTAGTTACATCGCGCTGATGTGACCAGTTAAAAGAGTCTAAATATCAGATAACTCTGCGCATCAAATAAGAAATCGAAAGTAATATATTTCCTCGAATACGAACGTTATATTTAGATGTCAATTATACGAGGTCAGTTTGACACGAGTCAAAATAATTTATTCAAATTATGAGGTTAAAAGCAACAAATAAAATCGCTTTTACCAATTTAGATTATCTTTATTTACAAGAAAATGGAGGTGGGCGGAAATCTGCTTCTAGATATTTTTGCCGGGCGGACAATATTGGTGCCGGGCGGTGCCGCCCGTTAATTGTAATAGTAGGCACATCCCTGCCCTCTATACGTCACCATTAGGAGATATTGTCAGAAAATATGGTCTCAGCTTTCATTTGTAGGCCGATGATACTCAATTATATATTTCATTTACACCTAATTGTCCATCTTCTTTCAATTTATCAAAATTTCAACTTGACTTGAGAACTGTATTAGTGAAATTAGAAAATGGATGTCAAAGAACTTTCTAAAATTGAATGATGATAAAACAGAATATTTGTTATTAGGCTCAAGGCATCAATTAAGTAAATCTGCACAAGATAACCCCCCTGTTGTAATTGGTAATTATGTTATATCTTCATCTTATTCTGCTCATAATATTGGCGCTATCTTTGATAGTTTTATGCTTATGGGAGCTCAAGTAAATAATATTTGTAAATTGTGCTATTTTAATATTAGAAATATAGGTAAAATACGTAAATGTGTAACTGTAGAGGCCACTAAGTCACTTGTTAATTCTCTGGTCACTTCTCGATTAGATAACTTTAATTCACTTTTAGTTGGTTTACCTTTAAAGCTTATAGATAAATTACAAAAAGTACAGAATACTGCGGCTAGACTTGTTACTTAAACTCCTGTTTTATATAATTTACACTGGTTACCTGTTAAATATCGAATTGATTTTAAGATTTTATTACTTACTTTTAAATGTTTAAATAATTTAGCTCCTGTTTACCTCTCAGATCTTTTAGAACTTTATACACCCGGCCGAACATTACGTACATCAGATAAACTACTTTTAAAGCCCAAAACTGTTCAACTAGTCTCTTATGGTCAGTGCTCTCTTAGTTATCAAGCACCTGTTTTATCTAAGAGAGCACCTGTTTTATGTAATAATCTACCATTTAGTTTAAGATGTTGTACATCTCTATATTCTTTTAAAATACAACTTAAAACACATTTATTTAATCAGGCTTTTAACTGACTCTGTATACAATCGTTAACATGCCCATAATCTTGTTGTCTATGTGTGATTTACATTGTCACTTTGTAAAGTGCCCCTGAACATGTTATATGAAAGAGTGCACTATAAATATGCTGTAATAATAATAATAATAATAATACTAAATTTCGAGATGTCATTTTTTTTACCTTCCGTATATAAATCGAAACGGAGTATCAGACGAATGTCGGACTTTGCTGAAAAATGTACCAACGTATGACCCGAAAAATACGGTAATTTTGGGGGAGTTTGAAACAGATCGGCAGCAGTCGGCACGCTGCCATTCTATAGTATTACGATGTCATGTAATTTTGTAGGAATATTATTGACATAAATTTGAATACCGTACAGGAGGTGCACCTATTTTATTTTACATATGAATTTGAATATATTTTGTTGACATTCTTTTATTGACGATTCTTAATTGTGTTTTGGAAACGTCTGCTTAAATTACGATAAGAGTTATGCCCCTTTATTTTCAGGAAAAAATGTCTGACAAGAAATTTTTTGAAATCCCTTCACTGGTCTCAACCAATCAAATTGTTTATCACTCTGATTACCCTCAGCAAAAAATGTCCATTATCGAACTTAGTCAAGGTATTCATGTAATAAAGCTATACACCAAGTGTCCTCACTCTCACATAATTAGAACTAAAGTTATCGTGTCCCAAAGCACCAAACAATCAAACTGCTTATCTCTGCTTACCTTAAGCAGAAAATTCTCATCTTCGAACTCCATCAAGGCATTCACCAGGCATCGATATTTCTGCGCACATGCGCATGGCGTGCGCAGGCACATTTGCTTTAAAAAAACTTTTTTGCAGGCACATTTTTAAAGATGTAGCCACGCCGGGCCACGCCTGCGCCCGGCACAATTTTTTGACGCCCAGCACAAAGAAAAAATCGAAGAAAGCCGCCCAGTCGTATTTAAACCCCTTCGTCCTTCTCTGTACACAAACTAGGCGCTCGAAATTTACCACGGCAATTCAACAGCAAAGCCATGGTAAAAGCTGACATACGCAAACCATGTCTGTCACGGCATAATTTATTTTTGTGTGCCGTAGTAGACCCTATCATCCCAAATTAGTTTAAAGAAAGATGTCTTGGTATTTTGTTTATTTATACTTAGAAGATGTGTAGGCCTAGGTCTATTCATTTTACAATTATTCTACGGTCTTTATATTTGTTTATTTGCCGTAAATAGGTCAACCAGACCAATTTACGGCACTCCAATGTTAAAGGTTTGAATGTCGTAATTGTCCAACACGTGCCTGCAAATTTTCACAATGTTTCTTATTTTATTTCTTACCTGTGTTGACCGTGGATTTGCTACGGCCCGAGAGTAGGACTAGGAGGACGATGAGAGCTTTCTCAGTTTCTGCCTGACCTGATTCTCATTTCACCGTAATAATAATAATAATATTCGTGAGACACGTACAACAACTTTACAAACAAGTCAAATAATACAACGTGTTTTAATTATCAATATCTACCTGTTGTCATAATTCGTTGTACTCAAATAAAATACAAACACCGTTTTAATTTTTAATCTCAAAGTAATAAATTAATATTTGAAAAAAAAAAAACAAATACCGAAAGGTCCCCAACTTATCTATCCAGAGAAACAGAGTGGGGCGGGACAATTTTATGCTCGATCGGGTGGTGTCAAAAAGTTTTTAGATCTCTCTATCATTGATGAAAATTAAGTGAATTTGGTAAAATTTGAATATATAAATGGAAATTTGATTTGCACTGAACCAAATGCAAAAGGCAGCAGATGCTCTGAACACCAAGAAGGGTTTAATTTTCATAAAAGACCACGCCCCACTCCCAGTATGACCCTGCAGGCACATTTTCAAGTGTGTGCGCAGGCACACTCAACTTTTATAGAGCCCTGGCATTCACCTAATAGACACCTACGCCAATGAGAGTTATTGTGTTCCAAAGTCTCGACCAATCAAATTGCTTATCACTCTGCTTACCCTGAACAGAAAATGCTCATTATCGAACTTAATCAAGGTATTGATGTAATGAAACTATACACCAAGTTTCATCACTCTCACTTAATTAGAGAGAGAGAGAGAGAGAGAGAGAGAGAGAGAGAGAAATGGGGCTTAAGGTCCACTTGACACAAACTAGGTCATTTCGGGACTAACATATGGTTTAATTTTATTTCAATATTTCGCTTGCGCGTAGGGAGTGGGAGGAAACCGGAGGACCCGGAGAAAACCCACGAGGTTGGACAGGCGACCCTACTCCTTGTCAAATACAACCGGGGATTCGAAACCACACCAGTTGACTCAAAGACAGGCCTTATGATACAGCGCGCACGTGCTAACCATTCGGCCATCCAAATCCCCTGCACTTAAAGATACATTATGGGAGATTCGATAACGAGTTGGCAGTTCTCATTATAATAATTAAAGATAGGTTGCCAGGCAACAAAACATACGCCCACAGCAGCTAAATCGTCCGAGCGGTCGTCAAGGGTTGTCGCATATTTATTCTTTTGTAGGTAATTTGGGGCCTTTACAAGACAGTTCCATACAGATCAGATTATAAATTTTGTCGTTTGAGGGTTTACAATGTTCTACAAACTGAAACAAGGGTCTCAACTCTGGAAGTAATCTACAGAAATTGTTGAAATTTGACATGCTTTTTCGTTTTACTAATTTACAGCATTAACTAGGTTGAACAAAGTGAAACAAGGGCCATAACTCAAGAAGTAATTATTGTAAATTGCTGAAATTCAATAGGCTTCGTGGTGTTACTAATCTATATGATGCATATAAATTTCATACAGATTGGCTAATAACTCTCGAGGTCATTAACAAAAATTGCTGAAATTCGATAGGCTTTTACGTTTCACTAATTTAAATAATGCATATAAATTTCACAAAGATCGGATGATAATTTTGACATTAGAACATTCACAAGGTACAACAAATGAAACAAGGGCCATAACTCTAGACGTAATAATTGAAGTGACGCATATAAATTTCATACAGATCAGCAGATAACTTTAGATGTTAGAGTGTTCACAAGGTGCAACAAAGTGAAACAAGGGCCATAACTGTAGAAGTAATAAACGGAAATTGCTGAAATTCAATAGGATTCTTCTTTTTACTAATTCAAACATATCAATTTCATACAGATCGGCAGATAACTTTTGATGTTAGAGCATTCACAATGTGCAACAAATGAAACAAGGGCCATAACTCTAGAAGTAATTAACGAAAATTGCTGAAATTCAACAGGCTTCCTTGTTTCACTAATTTAAATAATACATATACGTCCACATTTCAATGTGGGCGTACAAAAAGGAACAAAGATTTTAGAGTGTGTAATGGTGATATATTCACACGTTTTGTTTTTTTTAAATCGGATAAAAATTGTGACCTCTACAGGGACCACAAGCTAAAAATGTGATTTTTTGTTCAATCAAGGGCCATAATTCAGGAAGTTACGATCCGATATGCGCGAATATCGAAACGAACCAATATCTTTGGGTTATAAACATGTATTTAAAGTTTCATCAAAATCGGATCAAAATTGTGGCCTCTAGAGGGTCCACAACTTTGATATACCAGATGTTTACACTATTTGCGAACGAGGGGCGGCCATTTTGTCTGGCAGTTTTGGTCCGATTTTCATGAAATTCAAATTCGGACATTCTTACGGTGTAACGATGATATATTGGAACGTTTTTTTAAACGCAATTTTTCGTACAATCAGGGGCCATAATTCAGGAAGTTACGATTCGATATAAAAGCTTCTATAAGTACTGTTTGGCATTCAGTTCCAACCCTCTTTTTTTCCTCAAAAAAAAGGTCTAGCACAGGCAGTGGATTTACGTCTAGTATTGAAAGGGTTAAGTTTCATCAAAATCAGATGACAATTGTGACCTCCAGAGTGTCCACAAGCTAAAAACATGCTTTTTCGTACAATCAGGGGCCATAATTCATGAAGTTTGGATCCGATACATGTAATATCAGATAAGAATTGTGACCTGTAGAGTGTCTACAAACAAATTGTGGATGAACAGACAGACGGGTGCCCGGATGGACAGGGGCGACGACAAAATACACCACATGAAAATGTCGGTGTATAAAAATATTGCAGGCTAGCGTTGACATCGAGATTTGATTATGGTATGGATAAGTTAATTATAATTAATAATTTAGATATCATTTCAGGCCTAAAGAAAGACCTGCCCTAGGCAGTTTCAGCTTTTGCATAATGTATGTTTAAGACTTGCTCTAAAATGACAAATATGAGGGGTCTAAGGCTTTCAGAAATAATATTAATCTGACATATGACCAGATGAAAATGTGGGCGTATGAAAATGGCTCAGTCTGATGATATACACCCAATAATTCTATCTAATTCAGCCCAAAACTGCTTCTGTTTTGCTGCTATCACTAGTATGTGTAATATTTACTTGTTTAATCTATAATATCATTTTTATTAACTTACGTGCAAAGGGTTAAATGCAGCAATAGTTACAGAAGCTGTGAGTTGAATTTTATCATATTCATAAATCGCTGTTACTTCTGTGTGTCCTTGATGTAAGGCCTTTACATTGATTGACATGCAGCCTTTAGCAAATTTAGATAGACCTGTGTGAAAGCAGTTAAATGAAAAATACTAATATAATTAAAACATAGACAGTCAGGTAAAAAAAAAAAAAGGTTTCAAATCCATCTTTGTTCTCCCGGGGGAAAAATATTCAATTGAAAAATTTGTCCTGTATTTTACAGTGTTCAGAAAGTTTCCTCAGAATTATTATTTGGCATTTATAACCAGAAGCCGAAGGCACGCTATTCACAACAACACTTTGTGCTGTGCCCTTCCTTTGAAATATGAAGAGTAGCGGAAAGATAGGTTGCCAGGCAACGAAACATACCCCACAGTAGGTGAATCGTTAGAGCGGTCGACAAGGGTTGTGGCATATTTATTCTTTGTAGTTTTAGGTAATACTAATAGGGGGCATTTACAAGAAAATTTCATACAGATCAGTTCGTTTGAGGATTAAATAGGTTCTACAAAGTCAAACAAGGGCCTTAACTCTTGAAGTAATTTACAGACTCTGTTGAAAGTCGACAGACCTATTCATTTTACTAATTTAAATAATGCATATAAACTTCATACAGATCAGATGATAACTTTCGTGTGTTCACAAGTTACAACAAATTAAAACAAGGGTGATAACTCTCAAAGTAATTGACAGAAATTCAATCAAACTGCACGCAGCGATCCATCTACGTCATACGTCATTATGATCACTGTCCCAATTAACCGCCATTTAAAACGCTCACATGATCATTTTGGGGCGGGACTTATTGACTGGACTACAGCTTTGTGTACACAACAGAGTAAAAATAACCCGAGCACGCACGTTTTTTATGTAAACACAATTCTTTCGCAAAATGTCAACTTCTGCCAATCCGGTAAAAGCGATATATAATATGTACTAGTGGGTAATATTGCCATTGTAAACTGTCTTTAGAGTTTCAATCTGTTTATCTTTTAAAACAAGGTTAGATACTCCTAAATTTTTCTTCGCAAACAAAACCGCCTCTGTGAAATTATCTTTTATGGGCATCGCCATATTGAATAATTAGAAGACTATTTTGTGATTCGGCTTTGATTAGTTTGACATCTTTCATACACTCAGCAGCTAAATAAACATATTTAATTTCATTCAATATGACAATAGAAGAGAAATAAATATTTCGAAAAATTACTAAAAGCATACTTAGTGTTTTCGACTAAAATCGTTGATGTAGGAATTAAAATGTCGGGTAATTAGCACTATACGACTGGTACCGTGGAATCTCGGGTAAATAGCGTTATTATCTAATCTATGTAGAATTATTCATAAATACCATTGAATTTGGCCTAATAGCATTCAATTTGTCCTTCTATACAACTTAAATCTCAACATGCAATTTTGATTACCAAGCGTTAATTAACTAGTGTTTAGTTTGTCGACATGTGTGTAATTATAAGCGTCCCGCTTAATTTTCACGACTATTCAATAATTAGTTGGACCGTTCAATTTCCCGAATTGTGATTAAAATTAGTCAAGGTGTCCAATTACGCCAGGTATTCAATTCTGTTGCCCATCATTTAATTTCACATGCGTTGTTCAGATTTTAACAAAATGTTTATATTGAAGGAGTTGTAATATAGTAATGCTGCCGTGAAAACGTGTACATGTATAATGTACAGGCCGGTTTGAATAACAACAAAATGACTTCGGTAATCTCGGGAAAACATTTACCGCCATTCTGTATCGGTTAGGATTTTTTTCTAACGCACTTTATGCATATAACGTCGGCCAAAATGTATGCAACAATGAACAACTTACAATTTTTTATACAACGTATCATTGCATCTTCGTCCATAACTTAGATGTAATCCATCAATTATTGGCTGCTATAAAATCCAAACTTTAAATTATATATGTCATACCATGAGCTTGCAGCTTCAGTTAATCTAAATCAATCATTCATAGAGCACTCAATCCACTCCACGGGACGCTTAACGGTAAGTCACGTGGTCAGAAATGCGCCAATATTGGGACTATATTCTTAGTCTGTCTGTGTTAATCGGCGACAAATCTCCGCTGTGACAATATACATCTACTTTAAATGTCGCCCAATTCATTCCAAAATTTTTTTGGCCGTAAACCGTAGTAAACGTTGCTCTAATACAACAAACGAGTGACACCAACTGCTAAATAATCCCCTTCGACTCTAAGCACGCGCTATCGTCTAAAACAATTACCGTAACTACTTGTCTACGGCCGACATATTACGATGTGTTTAGTTGTTGGTCATCGTTCAGTTTTGCTGCCAAATGTGTATTTTGCCTCACGATGTTGATATACTGTAATAAGTGTTAGTTTTAGTACTGACTTGTTGCGATACGGTGAAATATTATTTTTCAGGATTCATACGACAGCAGGTATCTGTAATGCCTGTCAATATCCGGTGATTATTTTTCAAGATCACTACGGTGAAACAGATGTTGGATTTTTAATGGCGACGGGACGGTTCCGAAGCAAAGCTTTCTTGAGATGCGCAAACCGTTTCGTCCCCAATCATAAAACGTGTATTTATATATCAATTTAAAACAGTATTTCCCACATTGACAACACATCCACGAATGATAAATCTCACGCATCTGATTTACGTGTGTAGCGTTAATTTCTACTCTGTGTCCAATTATTCATAAATATTGCTGAATTTCGGCAAATAGTATCAATTTATACTTCTATCGAATTTCAATCTCACTGTTTAATTTTGATTACCAACGTCTGATTAACTAGTGTTTAGTTTCTCGACATGTATTGAATTATAAGCGTCCCGTCTAATTAGCACGACTGTTCAATAATTAGTTGGACCGTTCAATTTCCCGAGCCATGATTAAAATCAGTCAATGTGTCCAATTACGCAAGGTGTTAAATTTTGTTGTCAAACATCTAATTTCACGTGCGATGTTCAGATAATACGATGTGTTTAGTTGTTGGTCATCGTTCAGTTTTGCAGCACAATGTTGAAATACTGTAATAAGTGTTAGTTTTAGTACTGACCTGTTGCGATACGGTGAAATATTATTTTTCAGGATTCATACGATGGCAGGTATCTGTAATGCCTGTCATTATCCGGGGATTATTTTTCAAGATCACTACGGTGAAACAGATGTTGGATTTTTAATGGCGACGGGACGGTTCCAAAGCAAAGCTTTCTTGAGATGCACATACCGTTTCTTCCACAATCATAAAACGTGTATTTATATATCCGTTTAAAACAATACTTCCCACACTGACAACACATCCACGAATGATAAATCTCACGCATCTGATTTACGTGTGTACAAGTTGACTCCCTACCCTGATTAAATCCTTTTGTTTAAATGTCTTCGCAATTTAGACTAACAGCATGGGTATTGCACCAATCATATATTACATAATATGGGATCTATAGAAAGCATTTTGGGTTGAAAGGTAGTGCGATTATCTGGGGCAATAAACACAACGCTTGTAGAATTAATACACATGTGTCAGAAGCTAACAATATGTCTATTGTGTAAGACAAAACGTGAAAATAAACTAATAATTCGAACTCTTTATTTCTTTTTATTATTATAGAACCCTATTGCCATGATAAATAACTTGGTGTAGCAGTCGCTATCGTTCATGTGCCACGATAGTTGTGTGACACAACCGGCCTCGGTGTAATTTTACATGCAAAATTAACGGTAATTATTTGTCATAAACAATCAATGTCAAAACGATATACTGCCACGATGTTATAAATGTTGAATATTTTCGTTAATAATACGGACGTGTTAGTCCACGTTGTTTAGTGAGAACACGCATGTTCACATATTCTGCACGATATATATGTGGTTATATTTCCAACAAAGCTTCATGTCTAGAACATTTTAAAGGACACGTATGAATAAGACTATACATGTATTACACAGTTTAGATATTTATGCTGTGTTCAAATTGTTTTGCATATTTACTGTATTAAGAGTGTATAGTTAAGAATTACTCTTGAACTACGGCAAAGATAGACTTTTTAAATTGCAAACTATAAAGGTATTTTGGTTATCGGTCTTACAAATAGAAATAAGACATAAAAATGAACTGAACGCAACACAAGTCTTCGATGTAAGAGAATATTAGTTAATTATAACTGCTATCAAATCCACACAAAAATCCAGGGCACTCGTTTTATTTTAGAAAAGAATAACTGTATTTGAACCCCAAATCAATGATGAACTGTCAACTTGTTATGTAGTCATTCACGTGCAGATTGGTTTGAATAACAGAAATGTCCCGTGTATAAAAGATCAAAGAATAAAATTGCACATAGCCACTTTGTTTATCTAAAAGGGGTTCCGGCGCACTTAAAGGAATTATTTTTGACCCAATATTAACCATCGCCAATTCTTTTAAATCATCGGATAAAGTCAATCAACAAACAATACGGGTCTACTTTATTACAAAAACATTGGTGAACTTATCATTTCGTCTAAAATCATAACGCTAATCAACAAACAATACTATTGTTCTTTATTACAAAAACATCGGTGAACTAATCTCTGTCGTTATGGCGAGCCAAGCTAGTTGATTATTAGGTAAATAAAACAATATAAACAACCAAGGAGTAAAACTGATTTATTCCAATCAATTTATATACGAGTCAAGTATTACCTTAACCATGTACGAGTTTGCTTCTGAACGGATTAACTGACACCCGTTCAACTAGTAAATTCCAAATACAAACTGCTTACCGTATTCATGCCATAGACACTAATATCCTAATTTAAAAAAACGTTCTGTTTCCAATAATTATCACAGACACAAATATTAATTTTGATTGTTTTATCCATCAACACACAGAGTTAACACATCTAACAACCAGATCTTATGAATTCAAGCCTCTTCAATAATTATAAAGCACATAAAAGAGTGTAGAATAAATTGCCTAACAGAAAAATCATGCTTTATAAGTTGTTAAAGGGGCGTGGGGCTATTTAAGGAATGACGTTTGTGCACAATACAATGAAATAATTACCACCGGTGTAAGGGATTATTTTGACAGAATATGTCAACTGCAAATATGATGACTAAACATCAGTTTGTTCAGAAGTGCTCTGCATGCACGAACTTTCAAGTCTGTACTGATTAAAAAAAAATAAACAATCCCACATATCCACATTCCTAAAGATAGGTTGCCAGGCAACGAAACATACGCCCACAGCAGTTAAATCGTCCGGGCAGTCAACAAGAGTTGTCGCATATTTTTACTTTTTTCGGTAATGAAACATTTATAATACATTAAAATCTGATTAGGTGTAACAATTTATTAAGTAATTATCAGAAAACCATTAGAATTTGTTTGTTTTTTATAAAGTTCTGCCCCATGCTAATGTTTAGTATACAAATCTTTTAACATCGTGGATTTAGCTGTTCAAGTCATAAAGATTCATTGAAAATCAATATACTTGTTCCTCTCAAGACCATTAACAATGTGTATAAATTTAAAGTCAATCGGATATTAACTTTGACCTCTAGAGCGTCCACAAGATTTTTTGAAGTGATCAAGGGCCATAACTCTGGCAGTAATTATCAAAAATCGCTGAAAATCAATAGGCTTCTCCATCTCATGACCTTAAACCCTGTTAACAAATTTTAAAGACAATCGGATATTAACTTTAGCCTATAGAGCGTCCACAAGTAATTGTGAACGCTGGACCGACGGACCGACAGACGGATGGGGGTGACAACAATATACAGTGATAGACCACATTCCCCAGTATTTGGACCGCCAATCAGCAAGGCCTGGGAAGGGACTTGGCAGGTGGTCTGAACAAGCATCTGAATCGGTACATTCAGATTTCAAAGACTGTTGGATTGGAAGTGGTTACAAAAGGAACCCGATTCATAAGGATTACGAAAAGAAACTATTGGAATGTGTGATTTCATATTGTTCCTGGCGCATGTAACGTGTGCGTAAACTCACAGGGTGCCAATCATATTTCCGGACTCTTAGTGACGTCAGAAGTTGGCAAGAGTATCCGATTTTCACATAATGTCTCGTCTGTGATAAATGGTATATATGCATTTTACTATATTGCTTCAATTGTCAAGTAATTTCAAGAATGAATGTCAGAATATCTGGGAAGAAGTAGACTTTAGATATAATTGTTTAAGTAGAAATATAGTCTACCTATTAACATGCTCTCTCTGCAAAAAACAATACGTAGGAGAAAGCAAACGTGCCTTTTCTAAACGGATAAAGGAACACTATGCAGATATTAGACACAGCAGGCCAAAGCCGGTCGCTTTACACTTCAACTTAGATAAACATACGAGTAGGAATGTCATGATTAAAATAATAGAGCTTTTTAAGACTGACCCAGATAAAGGCAAAAACGATGCCGTAAGGAAAGCCAATGAATTCAAATGGATTCACACTTTTAAGAACATTCGCACCGGATGGCATTAACGATAAGATGTAGTCCTGAGGGGTCCCCCACTTTATTGTTTAAACTTTAGATCCTTTATTTGGCATATTTTCGAATTTAGTCTATAGAAGATTTTTCATTATTTCACTTCTTAACAGTGTGGGTATGTGTTCAATGAAAAATGCAAACAATATGCTGTGGACTTTTTTTCACCCTGACCCAACTTCCCCAGAGGTGTGGATAGAGGCTGCAGTTTTTAATTAATGTTTTTAAATTTGGTGGGAAGCATTGTGGTCAACAAAGGATGAACCCTATTGATTTTCAGTGTTTCATGATGTTTCGTTACAGAGTTATCCCCTTTCCCGAAAACATTGTGATTGTAATAGTGGCTATAGCTTTTAACAGATTTTTTTCAAATTTGGTTTAAAGCATTGGCGTCATGAAGTAATTAACTCTATTGATATTCAACATTCCACGAATTTCCATTCCCGAGTTATGCCCCCTTCCTAAAATCTTTGTGAACACGATAAAGGCTATAGTTTTTAATAGATTTTTTATATTTGGCTTGAAACATTGGGGTCATCAGTTCCTGTCAATATTCATAATCTGCAGACTTCTGTTCCAGAGTTATCCCGGCCCCGTTTGCTGAAAACCATGTGAACGCCATAGGTTATTAGAATATTAATATTATAAATGTGGAATATTGAAGACTAAGAAAGTAGAACGTACTGTTAATCTTGGAAAAAACTGTTACATCACTGAAGGTTATTGTCAAGTTCAACAAATGGCAATCTGTAAAACTCACTTTTTTACCTAAAAATACCAAAACAATAATTAAAAAAACATCATCAATGTGTGATAAACATTTATAACATTTGTCAGGTCATAGTGATATAGCAGCCAAGTCGTTCGAGCAGTCTTAAAGTGGATTAAGTTTCCACAAAATGCTCAAGGGCCGGTATAGTTAACATGATAGCCTTGCATCAGTGTTGAAAACACGGTATAAACCCAGTGTTTTAATTATAAGATGTCTGTACAAGTGGCTGGTTGTTTATTTTACTTAAATGAAGTGTGTACCATATTTTTCGGTGTATTAGGCGTATACGTAGATAAGGCGCAGGGTGAGTTTCGCAAAGTGCATAGTTTAGGCGAACCCTTCTCCAGCGACTTGTTGAACACGTGCTATACCATACCTGACTCAAATACACCTGCGATCTCCAGTAACTGGGTCACACTCTACTGTTTACAGTTATAATAATTACCGATATTTAGCCGTATCAAGCTTTATATATATATAACTTTATGAAATAAACCAGCGGCTGCCAGGCAGGATACGCCCATATTTTGCAAGAGATGGATAGAGAGCAAGCTAAACAAAAAGCGATTTTTCGAACAATCAAGGGCCATAATTCAGGAAGTTACGATCCGATATGCGCGAATATCGACAGGAACCAAGATCTTTGGGTTATAAAGATATATTTCAAGTTTCATCAAATTGTATCAATATGGTGACTTCTAGAGGGTCCACAACCTTGATATACCATATATTTACACTATTTGCGTACGAGGGTGGCCATTTTGTCTTTCGATTTTGATCCGACTTTCACGAATTTCAAACTCAACCATTCTTACGGTGTAACGGTGATATACTAAAACGTTTTTTTTTTAAAATCAGATAAAAATTGTGACCTCTAGGAAGTTGCTATCCAATATGCGCGAATATCGAAAGGAAATTCGAACTCAACCATCATTACGATGTAACGGTGATATATTCACAAGGTTTTTTAAATCGGATAATAAATGTGATCTTTAGAGGGACCACAAGCTAAAAACATGATTTTTCGTACAGTCAAGGGCTATAATTCAGGAAGGTATGGTGCGATATGCCCAAATATCGAAAGGAACCAAGATCTTTGGGTTATAAACCTGTATTTCAAGCAGTGATGGGATTTCAAAATTTTAGTTGTCGGACATTTTCTTCCCGAAAATAAAGGGACATAAAACGTATCGTTATTTAAGCAGGCGTTTTCAAACCACAATTAAGAATCACGTGTCAACAAAATATTCAAATTCATACGAAATAAAAAAAGAAGGTGCACCTCATTATTTTTCATATTTAATTCCTGTACGGTATTCAAATTAATGTCAATAATATTCCTCCAAAATTACATGACATCGTAATACCATAGAATGAAAGCGTGCTGACTACTGCCCATCTGTACCGGTTTCAAATTCCCCCCAAATTACCGTATTTTTCGGGTCATAAGTTGATACATTTTTCAGCAAAGTCCGGCTTTCATCCTATACTCCATTTCGATTTATATACGGAAGGTAAAAAAATGACATCCCGAAATTTATTTGAACGTAAACCGTAGTAAACATCGCTCTAATAAAACGAGAGAGTGACACCAACTGCTAAATAATCCCATTCGACTCTAAGCACGCGCTATCATCTAAAACAATTACCGTAACTACTTACGTTATTCCAATCGAAATATTCGTCAACATTTCTTAGCGTGTTTATTTATTTAAAAACATAAACCCCATTCAAAATATGATCATAAATCCGACAATATGCCATCGAAATAGAATCTTTTGTCCCGACATCAGACGTATTAGATTCGGCACGTTTACACCTCTTAATTCCATGTGTCTCGCGATATTTCTACTTTCATTTCACGTGTGTGTGAAATAGCTTTATTTAACTTCGGCTTCCACTGAAGAAATATCACAGACAAGTTATCGGACACAATGTATATTGATTTGGGGTGTTATATACTATTACTATTAGGATATGTGACATATATGACTAATGTCTACGGCCGTCATCAAGGAGATTAATACGTGAGACAATGGAGAAATCACAGGTTAATCAAGTAGATTAAGTTTATTGGATTGATATATAGTCCGACAAAGGAGAAGCAATGACTTCTGTTAAGGATTGAATTAATGAATTGTCCGACAAAGAATTAAGTCAGCCAATCAAGGCAGATTAAGTAGTTAATCAAGGTAGGTGTTTAGACGGTATAAAACGATAAATACGTTGCTCACTTAATTACCTAATCAATCCAGCCTATTATCAACGATAATCGGGTTGAGTGGTAGTTATACACTCAGTACACTATATTAATTTTGGAATTTTGAATATTATTTACCATGTCTTGATGTCCGATTGAGCATATTCCTGGTTGGAAAATTTAGGACGTTTGGAAAATAGCGTCGGACATTGACGGAATATACTAGCAAAATCAAATCACTGATTTCAAGTTTCATCAAAATTGGATCAAAATTGTGATCTCTTGAGGGTCCACAACCTTGATATACCATATTTTTACACTGTTTGCGTACGTGGGGCAGCCATTTTGTCCAACAATACGATGTAACGGTGATATATTCAAACGTTTTTTTAAATCGGAATAAAATTGTGACCTCCATAGGGTCCAGAAGCTAAAAAACGTGATTTTTCGTACAATCAGGGGCCATAATACAGGAAGTTACCGTCCGATACGCGCGAATATCAAAAAGAACCATGATCTTTGAGTTATAAACATGCATTTCAAGTTTCATCAAAATCTTTTACACTGTTTGCATACGAGGGGCGGCCCTTTCTTCCGTCAGTTTTGGTCCGATTATCACGAAATTCGAACTCAACCATCATCACGGTGTAATGGTGATATAGTCAAACGTTTTTTTAAATCAGATGAAAATTGTGAGTGTCCACAAGCTAAAAACGTGACTTTTCGTACTATCAGGGGCCATAATCCATGAAGTTTCGATCCGATACATGCCAATATCGAAAGAAACCAAGATCTTTTGGAGATAAACCTATATTTTAAATTTCGTCAAAATCGGATAAGAATTGTGACCTGTAGAGTGTCCACAAACAAATTGTGGACAGACAGGGGAGACAATATACATCCACATGAAAAACTCTATATACATTTTTTTTAATTGCATAAGACTTTATATATATTATAACTTTCAACTGCAATGTTTTATAACTTAAATGGTAATTCTGGTGCTCATATTGTTGTTAAAAGTCCCGCCCACACAAACATTGCTGTCTATTACATCCTGTTAACTTCACAAGCAATTGGCTTAGATAAATGAATAGGTATTGATGATAAACAAATGAAATAATAACAGTAGAAATAATTTATCATGATCAGCTACTCACGACTTAAATCCTGACTACTGGTATAAGAGAAACAATAATTCCAGTTTACTTATACTATCCAAACAACTGACTATCAAACGATGGCGTCCATTGCCCCGCCCACTACACGCGGCATGACAATACCTAAATTGTAGCCCTTTAGATCTATCAATAACATACAGTAGAATCTGCATTAAGCAGCCACCCATGGGAATTTTCACAACTGACCGCTTAACGGGAGTGGCCTCTTAATAAAATCTTGGTGCTTTTTGTGCTGACATAAATTAAATATTATACTTGGATGCATTGGAAGCAAACATCAATACTTGCATCGGTAAATTTGACCGTCGCTGAATCTTGCGCCGAACAAAAATTCTTTACTCAAGTCTCGGACATAACTTCAGTAAATTTGTCATTTTGTACCAACCTTCGATACTACTGTCTACCATTGTGATGCATTTGATAATATTTATCCATTTTTGTGAAGAAAATCGATGAATTAATTTTATTTTATCTAAAAAGCACATGAACAAAAAACCATTGCTGATTTTATCGCCTATTTACAGGGGGTGTAAATCTGTATGTAATATTATAGGAGGCGCTAAAACGTCTGTTTAACAACAAAGTGGCAACTGAAAAGAGATACTAGATGTTCGTGCCAACACTTGGTACTTTTATTTTATTCAATCAGTATCAAATACCGATAATCCAAGGTTGATTGTTATTTTTACATTTCTTTTTACCTGATCAGTAGGGGTCCAGTTAATTAACTACTACTCACAGGATTAGAGGGGGTGTTACAAAGAACAACAAGATGGTATCATTCAACAATGGCCGTTGAATGGGCGATGTTTTGTTGAATTTATTAGTAAAATAGTGACCACTGGCCGCGTTAGAGGAGTGACCGTTAAATAAAGAGATGAAACAATAGAATTTGTACAGGGGGGGGGGGATTTATCATGACCGCTTACAAGGAGATGTCGCTGAATAGGAGTGGCTGCTCATACAGATTCTACTGTAATACAATAGCATTTTAAATACCAATCAAAGAAACAATGATTTTGTGAACTACAAACAACTTCATAAAGCATACGGTGACAACTACTCACCGGTAGATAATCAATGAAATTATGACCTCTATAGGGTCCACAAGCTAAAAATGCGATTTTTCGTACAATCAGGGGCCATAATTCAGGAAGTTATGATCTAGAAGAGTGGGGTCTGGATTTGTGCCCATTTGATGGACACCCCCTCACCCCGACCTGAGCCTCCGGTCTACAACTAATATGTCTGAAGCTCAACATGTTTAAACAGCGTCCCTATATTTGCAATGTCATTTAAATCAGTAATCCCAAAATGGAGAATCAAGTATAGGGTGATCATAAACACAGGTTTTGGCATAAAGTATAATATTTCAAAGATTCATGCACGTAAGTACATTACCATTATATACAGTGTTTATTTCCAATGGAAGTTCTAATATTGTTCCAACAACAGCTTCTACAGGTGTTGGCAAAAACATCATATCATTAGGTGGTAAAACGTGAATCTACAATCATAAAAACAAAATATAAATGCTTTACATTAAATCCAATTTTCATGATTGAAATCTATAGCATTGAATGCTATAGTTGATATAGGCATTACTACGTACGCCTCCAAAAGAGAGAGAGAGAGAGAGAGAAATGGGGTTTAATGTCCACTCGACACAATTAGGTCATTTCGGGACAAACATATGGTTTTTTAATTTCATTTCAATAATTCGCTTGCGCATAGGGGTCTTTAGCAGTGGGAGGAAACCGGAGGACCCGGAGAAAACCCACGAGGTTCGACAGGCGACCCTACTCCTTGTCACGAACAACCGGGGATTCGAAACCACGCCAGTCGACTCAATGACAGACTTTATGATACAGCGCGCGCACGCTAACCATTCAGCCATCCAACCCCCCTACTATATTTATTGTCACATGTAGGACAAATCAGAGTAACATTCCAAGTGTTCTTTTTGGTTAATTTGAAATTCTAATATTCACAATCACCTTTCAACCATACCACAATTATTGAAACAATAAATCTCAAAATAAATATATGAAGCTTATCAAATATATTTAATCTGTACCAAAAGTGGTCATCATATTTAGTCAAGGTATTGTGCATGATGTTATGAAACTATTCACTAAAAGAGCAGGAGCCGGGTGTTCTGTAGAATGCTAACGTTTAGTATACTAAACATTTAGAGTGCCCAAAAGATTTTTCAAAGTGATCAAGGGCCATAACCCTGAAAGTAATTATCAGAAATCAGTGAAAATCAGGGGCAAACATCCAGAAAGTTATGGCCTGAAATGTGCAAATATCAAAAGGGACTGAGATCTTTGGGATATAAAGATATATTTTAAGTTTCATCAAAATCGGATAAAAATTGTGACCTCTAGAAAGTCCACAACCTTCATATTACACACTTCTACACAATTTGCATACGAGGGCGGCCATTTTGTCTGGCGGTTTCATTTCGATTTTCCCGAAATACGACTTAATCTTCATTATGGTGGAATGGTGAAGTATTTAAACGGTTTTTAAAATCGGAAAAAAATTGTGACCTCTAGAGAATCCACAAGCTAAAAATCAGGAGCCATAATCTAGGAAGTTAAATTCAGGTATCCGCGATTATCAAAAGGAACCAAGATCTTAGTGTGTAATGGTGTAATATATTCACACCAATGATGGGATTTCAAAATTTTAGTTGTCGGACATTTTCTTCCCGAAAATAAAGGGACATAATTTATCGTTATTTAAGCAGACGTTTTCAAACTACAATTAAGAATCACGTGTCAACAAAATATTCAAATTCATACGTAATAAAACCAGCGGCTGCCAGGCAGGATACGCCCACATTTTCGAGAGATGGATGGAGAAGAAGCTAACAAGAAAGTGATTTTTCCTACAATCAAGGGCCATTATTCAGGAAATTACAATTTGATATGCACTAATATCGAAAGGAACTGAGATTTTTGTGTTATAAACTTACATTTCAAGTTTCAACAAAATCGGATAAAAATTGCGACCTCTATAAGGTACACAACCTTGATATACCATATTTTTACGCTATTTGAGAACGAACGGTGGCCATTTTGTCTGTGAATTTTGGTCCGATTTTCACGAAATTCGAACTCAGTTCTTCTTAGGGTGTAACGGTGATATAATAGTACGTTTTTTTAAATCGGATAAAAATTATGACTTCTATAGGGTCCACAAGCTAAAAACGCGATTTTTCGTACAATCAGGGGCCATAATTCAGGAAGTTACAGTTCGATATGCGCGAATATCGAAAGGAACTGAGATCTTTGGGTCATAAACTTACATTTCAAGTTTCAACAAAATCGGATAAAAATTGTGACCTCTGTAGGGTCCACAACCTTGATATACCATATTTTTACGCTATTTGAGATCGAACGGCGGCCATTTTGTCTGTCAATTTTAGGCCGATTTTCACAAAATTCGAACTCAGCCATCCTCAGGATGTAACGGGGATATATAATAATACGTTTTTTTAAATCGGATAAAAATTATGACCTCTATAGGGTCCACAAGCTAAAAACGCAATTTTTCATACAATCAGGGGCCATAATTCAGGAAGTTACAGTCCGATATGCGCGAATAACAAAAGGAACCAAGATCTTTGGGTTATAAACTTACGTTTCAAGTTTCAACAAAATCGGATAAAAATTATGACCTTTATAGGTTCCACAAGCTAAAAACGTGATTTTTCGTACTATCAGGGGCCATAATTCAGGAAGTTTGAGAACGAACGGCAGCCATTTTGTCTGTCAATTTTGGGTCAATTTTAACGAAATTCGAACTCAGTCGTCTTTAGGGTGTAAAGGTGATATAATAATAAGTTTTTTTAAATCGGATAAAAATTATGACCTCTATAGGGTCCACAAGCTAAAAACTTGATTTTTCATACAATCAGGGGCCATAATTCAGGAAGTTACGGTCCGATATGCGTGAATATCGAAAGAATCCGAGATCTTTGGGTTATAAACTTACATTTCAAGTTTCACCAAAATCGGATAAAAATTGTGACCTCTATAGGATCCACAACCTTGATATACCATATTCTTACGCTATTTGAGAACGAACGGCGGCCATTTTGTCCATCAATTTTGGGCCGATTTTCACGAAATTCGAACTTAACCTTCCTTAGGGTGTAACGGTGATATAATAATACGTTTTTTTTAAATCGGATAAAAATTATGACCTCTATAGGGTCCACAAGCTAAAAACGTGATTTTTCGTACAATCAGGGGCCATAATTCAGGAAGTTACAGTCCGATATGCGCGAATATCGAAAGGAACCAAGATCTTTGGGTTATAAACTTACATTTCAAGTTTCAACAAAAATCGGATAAAAATTGTGACCTCTATTGGGTCCACAACCTTGATATACCATATTTTTTACGCTATTTGAGAACGAAGGGCGGCCATTTTGTCTGTCAGTTTTGCGCTGAATTTCACGAAATTCGAACTCAGCCGTCCTTAGGGTGTAACGGTGATATAATAATACGATTTTTTAAATCGGATAAAAATTATGACCTCTATAGGGTCCACAAGCTAAAAACGCGATTTTCCGTACAATCAGGGGTCATAATTCAGGAAGTTACGGTCCGATATGCGTGAATATCAAACGGAACCGGTCCGCAAGCTAAATACGTGATTTTTCATACAAACAGGGGCCATAATCCATGAAGTTTCAATCCGATACATGCCAATATCGAAAGCAGCCGAGATCTTTTGGGGATAAACCTATATTTCAAGTTTCGTCAAAATCGGATAAGAATTGTGACCTGTAGAGAGTCCGGACGGAGAGAGGGGCGACGGCATAATACGTCCACATGAAAATGTGGGCGTATAAAAATTACATGACATCGTAATACCATACAAGCGGTTGCCATGCAAGATACGCCCACATTTTGCAAGAGATGGACAGAGAACAAGCTGAAAAAAAGAAGTGATTTTTTCGTACAATCAAGGGCCATAATTCAGGAAGTTATAATCCGATATGCATGAATATTAAAAGGAACCAAGATCTTTGGGTTATAAACATGTATTTCAAGTTACATCAAAATCGGATCACAATTGTGTCCACTCTCTAGAGGGTCCAAAACCTTGATAAACAATATATTTACAATATTTGCGTACGAGGGGCAGCCATTTTGTCCGGCAGTTTTGGTCCGATTTGTACGAAATTCGGACTCAACCATCATAAGGGTGTGAAAGGGATATATTCAAACGTTTTTTAAAATCGAATAAAAATTGTGACATCTAGAGGGATCACATCCTAAAAACGCGACTTTTCGTACAATCAAGGGCCATAATTCAGGAAGTTATGATCCAAAATGTGCGTATATCGAAAGGAACCAAGATCTTTGGGTTATAAATATGTACTTCAAGTTTCATCAAAATCGGATCAAAACTGTGACCTCTATAGGGTCCACAACCATATTTCTACGCTATTTGAGAACGAACGGCGGCCATTTTGTCTGTCAATTTTGGGCCAATTTTCACGAAATTCGGAATCAGTCGTCTTTAGGGTGTAACGGTGACATAATAATACGTTTTTTTAAATAGGATAAAAATTATGACCTTTAGGGTCCACAAGCTAAAAACGCGATTCTTCGTACAATCAGGGACCATAATTCAGGAAGTTAAGGTCCGATATCGAAAGGAACCGAGAACTTTGGGTTATAAAATTACATTTCAAGTTTCAACAAAATCGGATAAAAATTGTGATCTCTATAGGGTCCACAACCTTGATATACCATATTTTTACGCTATTTGAGAACGAACGGCGGCCGAATTGTCTGTACATTTTGGGCCGATTTTCATGAAATTCGACCTCAGCTGTTTTTAGGGTGTAACGGTGATATAATAATACGTTTTTTTAAATCTGATACAAATTATGACCTCTATTGGTTCCACAAGCTAAATACGTGATTTTTCGTACAATCAGGGACAATAATTCAGGAAGTTACGGTCCGATATGCGAGAATATCAAAATGAACTGAGATCTTTGGGTTATAAACTTACATATCAAGTTTCAACAAAATCGGATAAAAATTGTGACCTCTATAGGGTCCACAACCTTGATATAACACATTTTTACGCTATTTGAGAACGTACGGCGGCCATTTTGTCTGTCAATTTTGGGCCGATTTTCACGAATATCGAACTCAGTCGTCCTTAGGGTGTAACGGTGACATAATAATACGTTTTTTTAAATCGGATAAAAATTATGACCTCTATAGGGTCCACAAGCTAAAAAGGCGATTTGCGTACAATCAGGGGCCATAATTCAGGAAGTTACGGTCCGATATGCGCGAATATCAAAATGAACTGAGATCTTTGGGTTATAAACTTACATATCAAGTTTCAACAAAATCGGATAAAAATTGTGACCTCTATAGGGTCCACAACCTTGATATACCACATTTTTACGCTATTTGAGAACGTACGGCGGCCATTTTGTCTGTCAATTTTGGGCCGATTTTCACGAAATTCGAACTCAGTCGTCCTTAGGGTGTAACGGTGACATAATAATACGTTTTGTTAAATCGGATAAAAAATATGACCTCTATAGGGTCCACAAGCTAAAAACGTGATTTTTGCGTACAATCAGGCGCCATAATTCAGGAAGTTACGCTCTGATATGCGCGAATATCGAAAGGAACCAAGATCTTTGGGTTATAAACTTACATTTCAAGTTTCAACAAAATCGGATAAAAATTGTGACCTCTATAGGGTCCACAACCTTGATATACCATATTTTTACGCTATTTGAGAACGAACGGCAGCCATTTTGTCTGTCAATTTTGGGCCGATTTTCACGAAATTCAAACTCAGTCGTCCTTAGGGTGTAACGGTGATATAATAATACGTTTTTTTAAATCGGATAAAAATTATGACCTCTATAGGGTCCACAAGCTAAAAACGCAATATTTTCGTACAATCAGGGGCCATAATTCAGGAAGTTACGGTTCGGTATGCGTGAATATCGAAAGGAACCGAGATCTTTGGGTTATTAACTTACATTTCAAGTTTCAACAAAATCCGATAAAAATTGTGACCGCTGTAGGTCCATAACCTTGATATACCATATTTTTACGCTATTTGAGACCGAACAGCGGCCATTTTGTCTGTCAATTTTGGGCCGATTTTCAAGAAATTCGAACTCAGTCGTCCTTAGGGTGTACCAGTGATATAATAATACGGTTTTTAAATCGGATAAAAATTATGACCTCTATAGGGTCCACAAGCTAAAAACGCAATTTTTCGTACAATCAGGGGCCATAATTCAGGATGTTACGGTCCTACATGCGTGAATATCAAACGGAACCGGTCCGCAAGCTAAATACGTGATTTTTCATACAAACAGGGGCCATAATCCATGAAGTTTCAATCCGATACATGCCAATATCGAAAGCAGCTGAGATCTTTGAGATAAACCTATATTTCAATGTAATGTGGGCGTATAAAATGTGACCTGTAGAGTGTCCACAAATAAATTATGGACAGACGGACGGACGGACATCCAGACAATCAGACAGAGGCGACAACAATATACGTCCAGATGAAAATGTGGGCGTATAAAACCTTAGCTAGACTAGCTTGAGCATTAACCGCATAAAACTTGATGCAAAATTTCAAGCATATCAAAATGTATTGAAAATGAACACTGCCAGAACAGGTAGTACCCCAAAACTTAGCTAGACTAGCTCATGTACTAACCGGTACAAATGTGCACGGGCGGAGAGGAGGGACAGCATAATACATCCACATGAAAATGTGGGTGTGTAATAAAATCAATAATTAATATCTGGTTATTTGTTCAATAATCAATACTAATCCTCAAGAATAAATAAACTTACTGTTGCTGTCCCAGTGTGAGCTGTATTTCTTGCGTCAGCTGCTGTAATGTTTGCCCTTCCCATTCCATAAGTAGTTATCTGCCCTTTTATGTTCACAGTGGTCACATCGAAATCTGCTGAAATCCATGTATAGTCTCCACTCCCTCCTCTAGCCTAAAACAATATATCATAATATCATGATCTGAAATCAAACAGCTTTAGTGAGGCCAAATAATAATATGCCCAGATGGACAGACACAGATATTTTAAGTCTCCTACTTTCTTTGAAAATTGTGTTGTGAACCCCACTCACAGTTAAATTTAACCAGCGGCTGCTAGGCAGGATACGCCCACATTTTCGAGAGATGGACAGAAAACAAGCTAAAATGAAAGTGATTTTTCCTACAATCAAGGGCCATAATTCAAGAAATTACAATTCAATATGCATAAATATCGGAAGGATCCGAGAACTTTGGGTAATAAACTTACATTTCAAGTTTCAACAAAATCGGATAAAAATTGTGACCTCTATAGGGTCCACAACCTTGATATACCATATTTTTACGCAATTTGAGAACGAGGGACGGCCATTTTGTCTGTCAGTTTTGGGCTGATATTCACGAAATTCGAACTCAGCCGTCCTTAGGGTGTAACGGTGATATAATAATACGTTTTTTTAAATCGGATAAAAATTATGACCTCTATAGGGTCCACAAGCTAAAAACGCGATTTTTCGAACAATCAGGGGCCATAATTCAGGAAGTTACGGTTCGATATGCGCGAATATCGAAAGGAACCAAGATCTTTGGGTTATAAACTTACATTTCAAGTTTCAACAAAATCAACAATTAAAATTGTGACCTCCATAGGGTCCACAACATGGGTTCCACGTCGGCCGTATATGCCGGTCGAGACCTACGGCTATGGAAAATGACCGTTCCTAGATCTGACCTAACGGTCATTTTGCACGCCGGAAAGAGGGTCTTTTTTTTAAAAAAAAAAAATTTCAAACATGACTACGATGGACCTTCACTGTGTAACTATACAAGAATGCACGTCGTCTAGAAGCCAATCTCGTGATTGGTGTTATAGAGTTGTATATATAGTCGTCAACAGATTATACTGAGTGTTGTGTTGATATTTAATGATGAATGTCTGGTAGTAGAGCAATAAATGTTAATTGATAAGTGGGAATCGGTCCATTGTTAATCATTCATGTATTGTCCACGTGTCATAAGAATTTTCAACAACAAAGCCATTTACCGCTATTACGGTCAGGCACAATGTAAATGAGGTTATTATGATCTTCGAAAAAGAGCAATTGATATGAAGTATTGCTCTTCGAATCCAACCAACTGTCATATCAAATAAAAACATATCAAATAAAAAAAATTACGTAAATCCTCAACAACGTACGTGTTGGAAGAAAAATGCATTTAAAAATAAAATGTTTATAGCGGTATTACGGCCTTGTGGAAACTGTTGAAATAAAATCTAGAGATTAGTTAACTTGCTTACCGAACAATTAAGAAAAATACATATTCCAGTTCTATTGTGCAGCAATATTGTAGAAGAAATGTTGTGTATATACGGTTACTCTTATACACGACCATATTCTAGGGGGCGCTAGTGTTGCTAGCCGTGGAGTTAGTTATCCGTTAGTCATTTAGTTATACATTATTAGGATTTACGTCACAATTCTGCGGCCCGTAATTCTGTAAGAGATGGTCTAAAACCCCAAAAATGTGAGATATTTGCCATGGATAATTATATATTTATCTTCATTTCAAAGTTATTGTATTACAACTCAAAATTATCCAGGTCAGTGTGTTTTCTATAGAGCACGTGTTAATTACGTGTGAGCTACTGAAATGGTTTTTCTCCGGCCAATTCAACTATTTCGTTATTTAAGTAGCCAAAACGGAATATTTTATTATCAAATAATTATCATGAGCCTTACTAATATTTCATTTTTAAGTCAAATATATTTTTTTTGTGCACCCCATGGTAGGGTGACCCGAGCCGAAAAAAATCTCGAAAACTATTTACAGTTATGGCACTATATTTATATAAATAACAACCCTAGATGATCCTTTATTATAAACTGCCAAGAAACTGTACCTGCGTGCTATATTTCACAAGATATATCCATTCGACTGCATTGTAAAATACACTGCTTTTGTGCACCATCCGCGGACATATTTGTTTTGGGTTTTCAATGTTGACGGAGTTATGTTCTCTTGGTTATTTCAAATTATTGATTTATTTTCCGATAAGAATGAACCATCACTACCATTCGGGACTATTCGTTTAATTCGTAATTTGCTATCTGATGAAATTGGCCCCATGCTTCGATTGAATTTAAGATTTTCGAGCATGCGCAACGCAGCTCAGTTTTGGATCGGCCATTCCTGTGTGCTTAATTTTGATGTGTGCAGTCCAATTTAAATTTTTGTAGATATATTAGACCAATCTATTTATATTTTCTGTATACCCATAGAAACATAGGTCTATTTATATTGGTATTTATATGTGAATGTGCCTTTGTAAATTAATATTTGATATCCCATTTAAGAAATAATGTTCGGAAAGTATGTATATTGACGAAAAGTTTCATGGAGTAATTAGAGTATTAAATAAATAATGACAGACTATTTTAATCAATCTAAATGAAAAATATGCAATAGCTGATCAAGTTATGTACAGATTTGAGATGTACATTGACATTTTGTAGTTGGGTTTGAATAAGTGAATACAAACTAGAAGATACATAATTAAGAACAAATTCAAATTCGGGAGGACGTTCCTTCTTGTATGATAGCTTTTACACAAAAATAAATATGCTGATTATTTTAATATGTATTTCCTATAACTTTATAGGGACTGAAAGCGATCGATAACATTAACAAAAACACATCTCATCGTGACCAACGCCCTCTGAATCAACATGCCTGTATGTTAGATCTTCTTTCATATAACGGTATGTCGTCTATTACAACACTCTTACATACATTTATATGTACAGTATAACATCTGTCTTAGCAGATATTTTTTATAAAACAGTCAATATTATCTTGTCAGCTATTATACGAAAGAAATACAGGTTTTCCCAAAGATAAATAGGTTAAAAATTAAGGTAATCAGCGCAGGTGTACTCACTTTATCAAACAAAGCGTAACTCAAATCTTACCCCAAAACACGATCTGTTACGACAATTCACAAATCGATTGATAATAAATAATACATAGTCATTATTTACCAAACACAGATATGTAATTTAGAACTAATCTGTAATAAACATATATTCCAAATTGTTCCCCTTGGGACAAAATAAAAAGTTAAGTTTTACTTAGAGTATCTCAAGGGCAACTTTTCAAACACGATATCAAAGCAGATCTACAGTAGTAGGCGTATTTTGTAACATAAATTGCTATCTGAAAATTAACCGATTGGTTTAAAGAAAACAGTTATTAAATAATGAATTGTTAAAATACTGTGAGAAGTGTCGGAATGTCGGTCTGCTGGGACGTCTGGATTGACAAATAAAATGGTTTTAGAAACGAAGAATGAAGAAATTGTATTTTTTTATAACCGCTAAAAAGGGGCATTGAAAGTTTCTTCCGGTTAGGTAGGATCAGCCAGGTCAATTAATTTTTGTAAATTTTCTTTTAAAACTGAAATCGAGTGTTCCTTACCGGCGACAGAAAAATAAAATATAGACTTATTGGAAACTTGCTGATTTAAAACATACCTACGAAACCGGAGCTGTGCCTTCAGTGCCTCTTTTATTTCCCTATCTGTAAGTTGTAAAAGCCCATTTTCCATACCCTCTTTACTTTTCCAAAGACCCACCCCGATAATTTCTGTTGTTAGGCGCTCTTTTTTCCTAATCTCACGTTTCCCCTTTTGTACTAATTCATTCTTTTTTGCCAAAAGAACCGCTAGCTTTTTTTTTCGATTTCTTCCCGTCTTTGCCTAAATTTAAAAAGTTGATTTTTAGTTATCGTTTGAGCATCCATTAATACCAAATTACGTTTATCAGGTGAAAGATTTTTTAGCCATTCATCAGATTTATTCATTTTACATAAAATGGACGCTTCGTTGCCAAAAATATTAGACGAGGGCGCGATTAATCTATCGAGATGACTGAACACGGTTTCCGGTAATTTGTTGTGAGGCATGGCAGAACTTGAACACGAAGGATTAAAGTCATCTCGATACTCAAGTAAAATTTTTGCAATGTACTTTCTAAACTCGGCAAAGAGGACTTCCAAAATATGGATCAGGGTTGAATTAAAAGTTAAATCAGAATCAAATTTCGTCAGGTTAGCAAGGACCGAATCATTTTCAATTTTAATTAGAGATTCAAATGGGTGTGATTTACCTTCAACAAAGTTTTCAATATTAGGGTTTTCCAAAAAATCATGTAATTCCTGATAAATAGTTTTCATGTCAAGTGCATTAATGCCGCTTTCTAGTATGCGCCACAGTGGAGCTGTAATTAATTTATCTATCAAGCCCAAAGCCTGGCACTCAATATGAAATAACGGAATTTTAATATCCAAAAATATGCTTTGGGTCAATCTATTTTCTGTTCCAAAATCACCAAGAAAATTTGTTATATGCTTGGCCATATAATTTACAATTGCGACAATGTGGAAAATAATATTAAACCGGTTATCATGAAATGGCGTTAGCGGTAATTTTGAAATCCCAAGGGACTTAAGATACAACTTAAAAGGCAAATAACAACCTGACTTTTCGTCCCCACCCTTTGTAAAGGCTTTACAGATGGTCCGAACCAATCGAACACACCCAGGTTCGTTTGGCAAAAATGAAGAAGCGGTTTTAAACGTTTGGGCCGAATACATTTTAAAATACATTTCCTCAAATTTCTTCAATTCAGACGCACTTTTATCGGCCAAACCAGTTAATAGATGAAGACCGCAAAAGAAATGATTTATATTTAGGTGAATATTTCGCTCTGAATCTGATAAATCAGACCAGTTTTCTACTAATTTAGAACAAATATTGCCTCTGTACTGTGTAAATAAATTGTTAAAAAGCTTTTCGGTGCTGGCTCTGTCTGACATCGTATTTCTAATTTCGAAAATTACGGATTTACTAATGGGCCCAGCTATATCATCAAGATCTGCCAAAATTTCATTTAAAGTTGCAAGAGTAGTTTGCGCAGATTTATCAGCCATATTCCGAAGACCAATAATAATTGGCGTATGAGTCGAGTCAGCGGTTAGTGCATATGTACCGAATTAGGAGCCAAATTTTGTAGTTTCGTCCCTATATAAAGTGGTGTTTTTTGCTGACTTTAAGGTTTCCGAAACATGCTTTAAAGATACACCACGCGCTCACATGATATTCTTTGGGGCATAATTAGATTTCAGTCCCGCGACAGCCAAACATGCGGTTATAACCGCGTTGACGTTCCTATCGGAAACGTTGAGGTTTTTTAGTTGCATGACCAAATTATGGCATTCTGGAGTGTATCTTTGATTTTTGACATACAAAATTACTTCTTCGCCACGAGGTTGGGACTTACAACCAGTTTTTTTATTTGCCAAAACTTTATTATTATTAGCCTTTGCGCGAATCAATTCTTTTGAGGTCTTCCTTATTCGATTTTTTAAACGGAAATTTTTTTTTGTACGTATTGACCCTTCTTAATAAATTCTTATTTTTCCTATTTAATTTGGTCAAAGTCGCAGCATCGACAGATGTCTGTGTCTCTCTATTTATTAAATGTACCGTGCTGGTATCTGTCGATGGTGTCTTGTCCACTAATTTTAAAGCGTTATTAGAATTATTTTTATTTTTACCCAGCTTTCTAGTCTTTGTCTTCAGTCTGGCCAGCCTACTTTGAATACCTTTGTTATCAAACGTCACGCAGTCGTCATGTAAAGCAGTACTTATAGACCGGTGCTCCGTATTGGTCGGAAATTTATTAATAATGCCTAGTACTAGCCTATTTGTAATTCTTGCGAAGGGAAGATTAGTTATTGTACTGAGATCTTAGTCATCGCCCAAACCAATGCTGGATAGTAATTCATCGTTGGACGTCATGCTTGCTAATTGAATGGGTTGACAACAAATTAAAACAAGTCAGTCGGTCAATTCCTAAACAAATTAAAAAGATTTGTTTCCCTTTAACCCTAAAAGCCAATAGTCTCGAACAGTAAATATAGTCAACCAAGACTATTGTGCGTTTCGATTAATTCCCGGTAGCAAATTTAAGATACGAAACAATTTGTTTATTTTCTAACTTGACACCAGTCGTCTTAGCGATTCCACGAAGATTTTAGGAACCTTTAAAAAATTAAAAGATAACTACGGCTTTTTTTCTTATCCCGTCTAAAACAAGTTCTACGGAGATGTGAAATCGCCGAAACTAAATGACAACACTCTGTAGATAAATAGCGAATTGAAAAATAAAAACGACAATAATTTTTAGAATTTTGAACGTAGTTTGCGATCAATGATTTCTAAAGACAAACGCGTGATGAAATAAATTTTAACTTGTCTTTATCTACCATCTGATGTTGTGACAATACCACGTGCATGGCCATATATAGTGGATATTTGCTGCGATGAATTACTCGCACGTGCTCCCAGCGGACCCGGCGGTGTTTTGTCATCATTCAGAAATTCGTCGTTGGACAGTCAACAACTCTCCAGGTAAGACCGAATTTCTTAGCGGATAATTATTGTTGCATGGGTCACCCTACCCATGGTGACTAAGTAGTAAAGACACTTGAATTCACAATACCCTACCATGAATAAAAAACATGAAATATACATTTACTTTGAAAAGTTTTCGTGCATTATCAAAAATGACCGGCAGTGAAAATTTTTAAGTGGAAGCCCTGGTCCACAACCTTGAAAAAACATATTTTTACACTATTTGAGAACGAAGGGCGACCATTTTGTCTGTCAGTTTTGGGCCGATTTTCACGAAATTCAAACTCAGCCGTCCTTTGGGTGTAACGGTGATATAATAATACGTTTATTTAAATCGGATAAAAATTATGACCTCTAAAGGGTCCACAAGCTAAAAACGCGTATTTTCGCACAAACAGGGGCCAGAATTCTGTAAGTTACGGTCCGATATGCGCGAATATCGAAAGGAACCAAGATCTTTGGGTTATAAACTTACATTTCAATTTTCAACAAAATCGGATAAAAATTGTGACCTCTATAGGGTCCACAACCTTGATATACCATATTTTTACGCTATTTGAGAACGAACGGCGGCCATTTTGTTTGTCAATTTTCGGCCGATTTTCACGAAATTTGAACTCAGCCATCCTTAGGGTGTAGCGGTGACCTCTATAATTATGACCTCTATAGGGTCCACAAGCTAAAAACACGATTTTTCGTACGAGCATAATTCAGGAAGTTACGGTCCGATATGGGCGAATATCGAAAGGAACCGAGATCTTTGGGTTATAAACTTACATTTCAAGTTTCAAAAAAATCAGATAAAAATTGTGACCTCTATAGGGTCCACAAGCTAAAAACGTAATTTTTCGTACAATCAGGGGCCATAATCCATGAATTTTCGATCCGATACATGCCAATATCGAAAGCAGCGGATATCTTTTGGGGATAAACCTATATTTCAAGTTTCGTCAAAATCGGATAAGAATTGTGACCTGTAGAGAGTCCACAAACAATTGTGGACGGACGGATGGACGGACGGACAGACAGACAGACGGACGGTGGCGACGGCATAATACGTCCACATGAAAATGTGGGCGTATAAAAAAAACATCAATTCTAACTGATATTTCAGTTACAAGAGAAGTAAATTAGTTTTCCATTAGCCAAATAACATTTATATAATGTAAACTGTTCCGAGGTTAATAAATTTGTTTGCTTTTTAGCCAAATAACAATAAAATAATCCATGTATGTAAGAGAGGTTCGAAAGTTTTTCAGGTTTGACTTGGTCATGCTATCTTTGCTACAAATCTGTTTTATATGTAGAGCACCACTGTAAAAGATAGCATTAAAGGTGTGTTTGGGATGACAACTAGATCATGGTGGAAGATAATGATGGCTATCTGGTCTTTTTTTAATATAGATTTGTCAATAACTTATACTTTTCTTTGACAACTTTCACATCTAAGAAATTAACTGGGATACTATTTATATCCATAGTAAATTTGATCTTTGGATGTTGTTGATTTAAAGATACATTATGGGAGATTTTTATAAGGAGTTAGCCATTCTTGCTATAACAGTTCAAAAATAGATGATGAAAGAAGAATATACTGAAAATTTCAGTCAAATTACTTTATTCTGAACATAGTTATCACCAGTGTAATTTTTGACTAGAAATGGGATTATATTCAATCTTCACCGATTCTTAGTATGGCCGATCGTTTGATTGACAGGCGTTAACTCCACCTACATAATCTCTGCTGTCTTTTGTCTGCTGTCATCATATCCGAATTTGTGTTTTACCTTTTTGGATTTTTATAACAATTGGACAAAATGAGTGAGAGGGTAAATTTTCATTCTTACTTGTATTTTGGACATGCATTAAATCAATTGAATATAGGACATAATATTATAATACAATTGAATTATGATAAATCTTTAGGTATACACCAATATTTTTATTGATATTACTAAGACAGAAGACCTGTCCGTCTGTATTAGTCATCACACGGTCTCCAGGAATTGTAAATTTGTCATTATCTGTGTTTATTGCACTTTAAATAGTTTAGATGTCAATTGTTAAGTCATCGCTCAACAGCGGCCTCGCTTCGTACACTCTATCATTTAGCCTCGATACGGCAGTATGACGTCAACGTAACGGTTAATCTCCGCTCACGACGCCATTTAAAATTAAATCAGTCAACGAAATCCTGTTTAAATCCAAGCTGAATCCAAGCCATCCGTGGGTCTACAGAGTTGATTTTGTGCTTGTTGTGTAAATAAAGATCTAATTTATAATTTCTATGAAATCTGAAGCCTAAATAAAGACTTGCAATAATCAGATTTAGCTCTTGCATAATGTATGTTTAATGTGAGCGTATAAAAATGACTAATATGACAGACAGAAGTAACGACATTAACCCCTTGCACTGATGGCATGAAGGCCTATGAAACTGAGACATAATTTACCTTTAGCAAATAGTTATGTTTAGCCTGTGTGACAGGATCCCAAGGAAAATACAACATGGATGGTTCCACAATAATTGGATCATAAATATCCACTTCTTGACTACCTTTCACTTCCTGGCTTATTTTATGCGGTAAACCATCCTAAATATAAAATAATTAAATTAATTTATTGAATTTAGTAGTTCGATATCTTTAACTTACTAGATCTGTAACTGTTATCTACATGCTTTTAGCATTCTTTTCAAATATTATATAACTCTTAGTCTAATAACAAGTTGAATGACACGCTTTCTGTATTCAATGAAGAAAGCTATGGAGCAGAATTTACCTCATAATTCTTACTCCTAACCGAACATTTATATGGTGGCTGAGGACATTTAAATTATTGCCTTTTTCATAACCCGACAGACATGACGACTTTGTTCTGTCAAAAATAATAAAATATTTTATGTACAAAAACAAAGTATTCTAGATATTTTTTAGATAAATAAATAGGCATTTGATATATTGATATATTTAGGCTATATTTTTTTCTAAAAGAATAATACCAGCAGCTGCCAGGCAGGAAGCGCACACATTTTGCAAGAGATGGATGGAGAACAAGCTATAAAAAAAAAACATGATTTTTCGTACAAACAGGGACCATAATCTAAGAAGTTATGGTCTGAAATACACGAATATCGAAAGGAACTGAGATCTTTGGGATATAAAGATATATTTTATGTTTCATCAACCAGCGGCTGGCAGGTAGGATACCTGGATAGAGATGGATAGAGAACAAGCTAAAAACAAACAGGATTTTTTGTACAATCAGGGGCAATAATCCAGAAAATTATGGTCTAAAATGCGCAAATATCAAAAGAACTGAGATATCCCAAGATATGATTTAAGTTTCATCAAAATGGGATAAAAATTGTGACCTCTAGAGGGTCCGAAATTCGAATTCAACAGTCATTATGGTGGAATGGCGATATACTTAAAAGGTTTTTAAAATCCGAATTCAATCAAAATTACGGTGTAAAAGTGATATATTTGCACATTTTTTTAAATCAAATAATAATTGTGACCTCTAGAGGGATCACAAGCTAAAAACGTGATTTTGATATACCAGATGTTGTACACTATTTGCGTACGAGGGGTGGCCATTTTGTCAACCATCTTTTGGGTGTAACGGTTATATATTCAAACATTTTTTAAAATCAGATAAAGATAGGTTGCCAGGCAACGAAACATACACCCACAGCAGCTAAATCGTCTGGGCAGTCAACAAGTGTTGTCGCATATTTTTACTTTTTTCGGTCATGAAACATTTATAATACACTAAAAAATCTGATTAAGAGTAACAATTCATGAAGTAATTATCAGAAAACCATTAGAATTTGTTTGGTTTTTATAAAGTTCTGCCCCATGCTAACGCTTAGTATACAAAACTTTTAATATCATGGATTTAGCTGTTCAAGTCATAAAAATTTACTTGTTCGTATCAAAATCTTAAGCTCTGTGTAGCAATCTGAAGTCAATCGGATGATAACTTTAGCCTCTAGAGCGTCACAGGTTTTTTCAAAGTGATCAAGGGCCATAACTTTGGCAGTAATTATGGGAAATCTTTGAAAATCAATAGGATTCTTTGTCTCATAACCTCAAACACTGTGTATAATTTAAAGTCAATCAGACGTAACTTTTGCCGCTAGAGCATCCACAAGATGTTTTGAAGTGATCAAGGGCCATAACTCTGGCAGTATTTATCGAAAATCACTGAAAATGAATAGACTTCTTCGTCTCATGACCTCAAACACTGTGTATAAATTTAAAGTCAATCGGATATTAACTTTAGCCTCAAGAGCGTCCACAAGATTTTTTGAAGTGATCAAGGGCCATAACTCTGGCAGTAATTATCGGAAATTGCTGAAAATGAATATACTTCTTCGTCTCATGACCTTAAACACTGTGTATAAATTTAAAGTCAATTGGATATTAACTTTAGCCTCTAGAGCGTCCACAAGATTTTTCAAAGTGATCAATTGCAATAACTCTGGCAGTAATTATCTGAAATCGCTGAAAATCAATAGACTTCTTCGTCTCATGACCTTAAACACTGTATAAATTTAAAGTCAATCGGATATTAACTTTGGCATCTAGAGCGTCCACAAGATTTTTTGAAGTGATCAAGGGCCATAACTCTGGCAGTAATTATCGGAAATCGCTGAAAATCAATAGGCTTCTTCATTTCATGACCTTAAGCACTGTGTATAAATTTAAAGTCAATCGCAGGGATGTCACTAACTTTTCAAGTAACAGGAAATTTTGCTTAAGTAAGGGGCAGCAAATTTTTAGGGCCTCAGGCCTGAATCTGCGGGCAAACCGAAGGGTGGGGAGTGTGTTATGGCGTTAGGTGCATTTCGGGTCAATATTTTAAATGACAGAAAGTTTTTTTTAAAACATTTTGTGAAAATATACTTAAAAAATCTATCCAAAAAAACTTTAATAATCCAAATAAGTGCTTTTCAGTCATATCCGAGTAAAGTCATTAGATAAGCCTTATTATAAAATTGCACGTCTACCAATTTTAAAACTGAAATCTGTGAATATTAGTTTAGGCTTTGCTAAAACTTATAAAATCGTAACAATTTGAAAAATATATAAAATATTTTTAATCTTCATGATACCAGATAAAAGGCAGGCTGCATTTATTCGGAATTAGCAAATTTCAGTCTGCAAAACCGATAAATCCCGTTTTCTACTTATGGGTGTAATCGCGTGAATTGAAATCCCTGGAAACGTGACATGAGAGTTTTATTTTCCCGCAAGTGCCTCGCACATAAACAGTAATAGCGCTTTTATTTCTATAACTTTTGAGTCCGACTATTTTCGTATATTGAGATCGATATCAAAGCATTATATACTATTCAAAAAAAGTAGGGGATATTTGATTTTTAAGTGTTATTAAAGTCACCTAATGAAACTGACGAAGAAACAAATGACAAAATGAAATGAAGTTCACATTCATCGATTTATTCCAAATGATCGTTAGACTAAGTAAGGCACAGACTGACCATTATAAGGGTAAAATGATACCTGGGGTCAAACAGCAAAGTTACCACAGCATCACAACCAAGTCAGTAACGGGTAAATCCTCCTCTGTTTGCCAAACAAGCATTGATCCGACGTGGCATACTCCTAATGAGACGTCTAAGGTCATTTTGGTCCAGATTGTCCCATTCCTGTTGCAACGCAGCAGCAAGTTCTTGGACATTGGCAGGACGTTGTTGACGTTGACGTAACCTCTGTCCAAGCATGTCCCAGACATGCTCGATGGGGGAGAGGTCGGGACTCAGTGCTGGCCAAGGTAATGTGGTGATGTTCTGTTGTTGGAGGTTACCTGTAACGATCCTGGCCCTGTGACAACTTGCGTTGTCATCCTGGAAGATGAAACGGCGGCCATGACGTCGTGCGAACGGCACAACATGGACTTCCAAGATGTTGTCCCGGTAGTACTGGCCTGTAACACGCCCTGCAACAACATGTAAAGCCGTTCTTCCAGCAACAGTGATGCCTCCCCACACCATAACAGAACCACCCCCAAATCGATCATGTCTGATGACGTTAACGTCTTGGAAGCGCTCGTTTCGACGACGCCACACCCTCCTACGTCTGTCCAAAAAATCAACAGTGAACCTTGACTCATCTGAAAACATCACATTGCTGCAGCGTCGATTATCCCAGTGTTGACGATCCCTACACCAACGACGTCTTGCCTGAATGTGATGATCTCTCAAACAAGGGATCACGCGAGGACGTCGGGCGCGAAGGTGACCCCTATGCAGTCGATTCCGAATCGTCTGGCCACTCACTCTCACACCAGTGTCTGTTTGAAGACGAGCGCTGATCTGATTTGCTGTGATGACACGATTTCTCAAGGCCAAGGTACGGATAAATCGATCCTGGGCTTGAGTTGTCGCCCATGGTCGACCTGAGCGTGGTCTGTCCTGTACAGATTGTGTATCACGGTATCTGGACCATAGCCTGCTTATGACAGACTGAGAAACATTCATCGTCCGCGCCACAACCGCCTGTGTTGTGCCGATCTGTAGCATGCCAAGGGCACGTAACCTTTCATTTTGGGTAAGCCGACGCATATCAAAATTTGTTTTCTGGTCACTAAAACAATTAAACTGATGTTTCCACCCTGGAATTCAATGCCACAATGACTGTAACATTCAAAGTCAGAGTCGTGCAAATCTTGGGTTGGACCCCCATGATGATCCCAAGCATCACCTGCATTCCATGCGGTAGCTATTGGTGCGTTTGGGCGTCACATGTAACTGGAAATGTTTCTTCTGTTAGGTTCTATAGTGACTTTTTTCGTAGTCATTTGCATATTTTAGTATTATGCCCCAAAAATCAAATATCCCCTACTTTTTTTGAATAGTATAATACAACCGCTAGTAATCTAAAATCGCAGATTGAAAGTCAGCTAAATTTCAGTCAATCACTCAATGCCAATGGCTTCCGATTTTATGCTCAAGTCACGTAGCGTGAAACATTTTCTGTTCACGGGAGAACTGTCAAAATCGTATAGACGTTTACTACTAGCCATGAGGAAAAATGACAGTAAGGGAACAGACCTTGTAAAGTCAGTACAGGTCTCTATTTTATTAGGTACGCTCATGTACCTATTGATTACAATATACTTATAAGAATCATGAGGTCGATTTATACAACGGAAGTAAGGGGGTTACCTCCCTTTTTGAAAGTAAAACTAGCATTGGCTATATAATTATGAACATTTCCCGTGAAAAATAGCCTTCCGTGCGGGAGATCGGGAGAAAGGTCGTAAATCTTTGAGTATCACGGAAAAAACTGGTTAGTTGATACGTCTGTGTGCTTTGCGTTTAGGAATTAAATTAGTTTCAATTAATAGAATGCCGAATTATTTTATTAAAATTAAATTGCTGATCTTTTTTAGCTGAAAAGTAGCCGAAAATTGGCCTAATGTAAACGGCGAAATTTGCCGGTTGCCGGCTTCTAATAACATCCATGGTCAATCGGATATTAACTTTGGCCTCTAGAGCGTCCACAAGATTTTTTGAAGTGATCAAGGGCCATAACTCTGGCAGTAATTATCGGAAATCGCTGAAAATGAATAGACTTCTTGGTCTCATGACCTTAAACAATGTGTATAAATTTAAAGTCAATCGGATATTAACTTTAGCCTCTAGAGCGTCCACAAGATTTTTTAAATTGATCAAGGGCCATAATTCTGGCAGTAATTATCGGAAATCGCTGAAAATCTATAGGCTTCTTCATCTCATGACCTTAAACAATGTGTATCAATTTAAAGTCAATCGGATATTAACTTTAGCCTCTAGAGCGTCCACAAGATTTTTTGAAGTGATCAAGGGCCATAACTCTGGCAGTAATTATCGAAAATCGCTGAAAATCAATAGGCTTCTTCTTCTCATGGCCTTAAACACTGTGTATAAATTTAAAGTCAATCCACAAGATGTTTTGAAGTGATCAAGGGCCATAACTCTGGCAGTAATTATCTGAAATCGCTGAAAATCGATAGGCTTCTTCGTCTCATGGCCTTAAACATTGTATATAAATTTAAAGTCAGTCGGATATTAACTGTATAAAAATTATAACCTCTATAGAGATCTCAAGCTAAAAACATGATTTTTCGTACAATAAGGGGCCATAATTCAGGAAGTTATGGTACCAAGTTCCATTCAGAATGGCAGCTTGTAAACGATAAACACAAAAATTGGACATGGCTTTGCCCCTGGGGGTCGGAACATGCAGTAGTCATCCTTTTATTCAATTTTTTTTTAAAACTTAAAATGTATGTTTATATCCCAAAGATCTCATATGGGTTCAATTTTGGACCATGTCCACAAACACCAGCGGCTGCCAGGCAGGATACGCCCACATTTTCGAGAGATGGATAGAGAACAAGCTAAAAAGAAAGTGATTTTTCCTACAATCAAGGGCCATAATTCAGAAAATTACAATTCGATATGCGCAAATATCGAAAGGAACCAAGATCTTTGGCTTATAAACTTACATTTCAAGTTTCAACAAAATCGGATAATAATTGTGACCGCTATAGGGTCCAGAACCATATACCATATTTTTACGCTATTTGAGAACGAGATCTTTGGGTTATAAACTCACATTTCAAGTTTCAACAAAGTTGGATAAAAATTATGACATCTATAGGGTCCACAACCTTGATATACCATAATTTTACACTATTTGAGAACGAAGGGTGGCCATTTTGTCTGTCAGTTTTAAGCCGATTTTCACGAAATTCAAACTCAGTCGTCCTAAGTGTATAACGGTGATATAAAAATACGTTTTTTTAAATCGGATAAAAATTATGACCTCTATAGGGTCCACAAGCTAAAAACGTTCCGATTTGCGCGAATATCGAAAGGTACCAAGATCTTTGAGTTATAAACTAACATTTCAAGTTTCAACAAAATCGAATAAAAATTATGACCTCTATAGGGTCCACAACCTTGATATACCATATTTTTACGCTATTTGTGAACGAAAGGTGGCCATTTTGTCTGTCAGTTTTGGGCCGATTTTCATGAAATTCGAACTCAGTCGGCCTTAGTGTATAACGGTGATATAAAAATACGTTTTTTTAAATCGGATAAAAATTATGACCTCTATAGGGTCCACAAGCTAAAAACGTTCCGATTTGCGCGAATATCGAAAGGAACCAAGATCTTTGAGTTATAAACTAACATTTCAAGTTTCAACAAAATCGGATAAAAATTATGACCTCTATAGGGTCCACAACCTTGATATACCATATTTTTACGCTATTTGTGAACGAAAGGTGGCCATTTTGTCTGTCAGTTTGGGGCCGATTTTCACGAAATTCAAACTCAGCCGTCTTTAGGGTGTAACGGGGATATAATAAAACGTTTTTTTAAATCGGATAAAAATTATGACCTCTATAGAGTCCACAAGCTAAAAACACGATTTTTCGTATAATCAGGGGCCATAATTCATGAAATTACCGAGATCTTGGGTAATAAACATACATTTCAAGTTTCAACAAAATCGGATAAAAATTGTGACCTCTATAGGGTCTACAACAGTGATGGGATTTCAAAATTTTAGTTGTCGGACATTTTCTTCCCGAAAATAAAGGGACATAACTCTTATTATTTAAGCAGATGTTTTCAAACCACAATTAAGAATCTTGTCAACAAAATATTCAAATTCATACTTAATAAAAAAAATAGGTGCACCTCGTTATTTTTCATATTTAATTCCCGTACGGTATTCAAATTTATGTCAATAATATTCCTACAAAATTTCATGACATCGTAATACCGTAGAATGAAAGCGTGCCGACTACTGCTCATCCGTACCGGTTTCAAATTTCCCCCCAAATTACCGTATTTTTCGGGTCATAAATCGATATATTTTTTAGTAAAGTCCGGTATTCGTCTTATACTCCGTTTCGATTTATATACGGAAGGTAAAAAAATGACATCCCGGAATTTATTTGGCTGTAAACCGTAGTAAACGTTGCTCTAATACAACGAGCGAGTGACACCAACTGCTAAATAATCCCATTCTACTCCAAGCACGCAGTATCGTCACCGTAACTACTTACGTTATTCCAATCGAAATAGTCGTCAACATTTCTTAGCGTATTTATTTACTTATTTAAAAACATAAACCCCATTCAAAATATGATCATAAATCCGACAATATGCCATCAAAATAGAATCTTTTCTCCCGACATCAGACGTATTAGATTCGGCACGTTAATTCCACGTGTCTCGCAAGATTTCTACTTTCATTTTGCGCGTGTGTGAAATAGCTTTATTTAACTTCGGCTTCCACTGAAGAAATATCACAGACAAGATATCGGACACAATGTATATTGATTTGGGGTGTTATATACTATTAGGATATGTGACATATGACTAATGTCTACGGTCGACATCAAGGAGACTAAAACGTGAGACAATGAAGAAATCACGGGTTAATCTGACTTCTGTTCAGGATTGAATTGATGAATTGTCGGACAAAGAATTAAGTCAGCCAATCAAGGCAGATTAAGTAGTTAATCAAGGTAGGTGTATATACGGTATTAAACGATAAATATACGTTGATCACTTAATTACCTAATCAATCCAGCCTATTATCAACGATAATCGGGTTGAGTGGTAGTAATACACTCAGAACACTATATTAATTTTGGAATTTTGAATATTATTTACCATGTCTTGGATGTCCGATTGGGAATATTCCTGGTCGGACAATATAGGACGTTTGTAAAATAGCGTCGGACATTTCCGGAATATTCGTCAAAATCCCATCACTGGTCTACAACCTTGATATACCATATTTTTACTCTATTTGAGAACGAACGGCGGCGGCCATTTTGTCTGTCAGTTTTGGGCTGATTTTCACAAAATTTGCACTAAGCCGTCCTTAGGGTGTAACGGTGATATAATAATACGGTTTTTTAAATCGGATAAAAATTATGACCTCTATAGGGTCCACAAGCTAAAAAAGCGATTTTTCGTACAATCAGGGGCCATAATTCAGGAAGTTACGTTACGATATGCGCAAATATAGAAAGGAACCGAGATCTTTGGGTTATAAGCATACATTTCAAGTTTTAACCAAATCGGATAAAAAGTCTGACCTCTACAGTGTTCACAAGCTAAAAACGTGATTTTTCGTACAATCAAGGGCCATAATCCATGAAGTTACAGTCCGATACATGCCAATATCTAAAGGAACCGAGATCTTAGGGTGATAAACCTATATTTCAAGTATCATTGAAATCGGATAAAAATTGTGACCTGTAGACTGTTCACAAACAATTGTGGACGGACGGACAGGGGAGACCACAATATACGACCCCATTTGAAAAGAATCTATTGAAAACTGTAGGCATTCACTAGATTTTTGAGAAAGAATCATAACTTTGGAATAGAAAGGTTGATAAACACTGAATATCGATAGCGTTTACCGCAATGCTTTAAACCAAATTTGAAACAAGCCAACGACGAGACTGATGTCCCCTGCCGAAATCCCCAAAAACAATAGATCACACATTAATTAACTTAACATTTTTCTTTTTATAAAGCATAGAGCAATCAACCTGCTTTTCTTTACATAGTCCAAGCAGAAAATAATTGACAAAGGGATCGTAACTCTGGTACCAAAGGTGACGATCCTAAGTGGTTTCGAAACTTTGATAGATATTGGAGATGGGTTTTACAAAGCAGTATTTTTGAAGATTCAAAATGGCCAGCATAATATCTTTGAAGGAAGTGGTGCATTTTCTAGATGGTATTCCTTGACCCTATAAATGTAGGTTTAGACACCAAGATTGTGATTTAGAAGCTAAGATATTGGGGGATATAGGTTTTTACACTGCGGAAATCTTATAGATCCAAAATGCCTGCCATAATATATTTGGAGGAAGTGGTTCCTTTCAAAAATGGAAGGCTAAGGAAATGTGTAGCCTTCAGGGGGGAAAAAAGTGGAGCTTTTGTCTGGAACATCCACATTAACTTGCTAAGCTGCCTGACTACACAAAAGATTCTCTTTTTTGTCCATTCAGATTTGGGGAGATGAATGTGGATGTATAAAACTTTGGAAATCCTGTCGCCCAATAGGAAGATCTTGAGAGGAGATGAAATATTGGGAGACACCCTTCTAAATCGGGAGATATCACAGATCTGCCAACATTCAATATACTACATGAATTAAACTAACACTTTTGATAACTGATATCAATACTCCATCTATCTCTGTTCTTCCTTTAAGTAATGTTTGCACTCTATGATAAGTTCCATTCTTACTGGAAAACAAAACTTTGAAATAGGCAGTTGGAAACATGGCTTCTATACGAACATTCTGAAATAAATAAAGATAAAAGAAATAATTAGTCTTACGAGTAGATATAATCAGTTTCCAGCTCAATGGAAATGCCTTTGGTTTGTTTAAACTGCTATTATTCCAAACCAACTACACAACAAGTACAGCTTAAAGGAGCTAAATCGCTAATATTTGGGACCTGGAAATTGACACAAATGCGTCGCAACACATATAATAATGTAATATGAATGTACATAAACCGATTTACATTCAATCGTTTCTGTTTTTACTCTAATTTCTCATCAGTTATGTTCGGTGAAATATGCCAGAAGTCTCAATCTCTACCGAAAGTATTTATTGCGCATGCTCCCCAGATAAGAATATAGCGTCACCGTTTGACATGACTTGTGGAATATGTCTAGCCTCGTTCTTCGAGTTCCTTGTTACAAATGGCACTGAAACGCATTATGGTACACGATTCGTGTACCAATGTTAAAATGTTTATTTTGTCTTAAATATTGGATACCAGAAGCTCATCTTTTGCCCGGTAAGATCACAACATCAATGCTGATTTAAATTGACAAATGATTAGTGTTTTCAATGTCGAAGACTTTGGATGATACTGAGTTAGAGACTTAGCTACTTTAATTCCAGAACTTAAAATGTCTCATCTTTCTTGTTTCTCTTTTTGTTTTGATACATATGGCCACAGATCACTAATGATTTCCCCTTTGATTTTAATGTTAATTCTGTCTTTTAGACCGGCTCTAACTTTTTCCCAAATTTTCGTTGGGTAGAACGCTTTTTACCACAGATGTAGCAACATGTGGCAACCTCTTGCCCAAAAGCATGTATGAGGTTCTTCATGAAAAACTTGAGATACATGTACACAAGCTGGAAGTAGAGACAATTAAAAATGCCATCTTTGACCCTACATTTCAACCTAACCAACCCCTCAACTCTTGTATCCTTCCGCCTCAAAATCATGAATATTCACCAAAACCTGGCAAAAAATGTATTTTCAAACGCTTTTCTTCGATTCTACACCAAAAAGTCAACAAAGATCGCCATGCAAAGGGGGGAAAAGGGAGAGAAAAACTAAAAATAACTTTCGGCCTACATTCGGGGGTGACGGCGTAGGAATATTTGGTGAGCTGTGTCCATATATACATGTGTGTTCACTTTTAATTATGCAGTAAAAGAACAATTTACAGATTGTAGTCTACAGAAAACAAACAAACCGTCAAAGATAGGTTTCCAGACAATGAAACAATACACCCATAATAGCTTCTCCAAGCAGTCAACCCATTTTATTCTTAAGAAAGACACTACAAACTTCCAGATGCTAACATTTATTATTCAAAACAAATGATAAATCAGATGATAAATTTAGCTGTTTGAGTTACTGAAAATCATTGAAAATCAATGGACTTCTCATAAACACTGTGCATCAAATTCAAAATGAATCAAAAAATAACTTTAGCAACCAACAGAAAAAGTTTTGTGATTAGGGGTCTGTATTGTAAATAATGATGATGAAAAAAATGTATCAAAGTTAGTCAAAAACACAACTCTAGTACTCTGAAAAGTAAAGACAATAGGTTTATATTTTTCAATCCACAATCTATCTTTTAGTTTTACATTTAGTAAATTTACATCATTAATTACAACTTTCAATTGAATTGTTTCATAACTTAAATGGTAATTCTGGCGCCTGTACGGTAGTCAAATTGTCGTTAAGAGTCCCGCCAACAACACAAAAGGCTGTCTATTACATCCTGTTAAATTCATGAGCAATTGGCTGTTATAAATGAATAGGTATTGATGTTAAACAAATGAAATAATAACTGTAGAAATAATTTATCATGATCAGTTACTCACGGCTTAAATCCTGACTACCGGTAAAAAGAGAAAAAAAATAATTCTAGTTTATTTTATACTATCCAAACAACTGACAATCAAACGATTGTGTCAACTGCCCCGCTCACTACACGCAGCATGACAATACCTAGATTGAGGCCATTTATATCTATCAGTAACATAAGACAATAGCATTGTTAATACTAATCAAAGAAAATGAAATGAAATGAAATGGGGTTTAACGTCCTACTGTTTTGCTCCGAACTGGGCTAATGAAGACGGGCATACACCATACAGTGTGCTATGAGGGAAATTTTGCCCGGACAGCGGCACTACGGCCTACTCTTATATCGAATTCCAACTGTCAAGGGATCTTTTACGTGCACGCCAATGTGTACACGGGACCTCGGTTTTTCGTCTCATCCGAATGACTAGACAGCTGTCCTTGTCAGGCCCTCCGTCCTGCAACACTGACAAGGGGGAACCACGCCGGAAAATCTGGATGAACTTTCTCGGCCAATGCAGGGATCGAACACCCGACCTCCAGGCTAGCGAGCCAGCGCCTTACCCACTTAGCCACCGTGATCCCCCACTAATCAAAGAAACAATGATTTTGTGAACAACAAACAACTTCATAAAGCATATGATGACAACTCACCGGTAGATAATTAACGATACCGGTAAATTATAACAATGGGTGAATCAGTGAATCTTCGTTGCATGAAAACTATCGGTAACTTGAAACGGCTAGATATATAAGTTACAGCAATGTATAGAAAAAACAAACGAACCTTCAATCAAACTTTTGAAAAATTATTTATTCAGAATGACTACGAGACGAACCCCTAAGGAGTGCGGTAATAGATAAAGCGAATAGATAGAGCTTCGCATGTTATCCACAAATTGTGAAAGAATGTGTTGACTGTCAATCATAGACGCCGTGAAGATTTGCCATTTCGAGAACAGGTTAGACAGAACTTTGTCGTCGTTGTTTCTGGAGTTTACCGACCACTTCCACCAGGGGTGATATCGTAGACAAGAGAACAACTTCAATATATGTCAGTTTAACTGTAATCCCACCCTTACTACCAATGACTTATATTGAGCCAATGAAAATGCTTGTATGAATGCATATCCCGCCCAATTCGTCAACTTGACTGACAACACCACTGACCTTGAACGGGGACATGCGAGGACTGCTGATAATGGTCAAGAGTATACAGAATAGTAGAAATATATGATGTAGAATTAGCAAGAAATATTACTGATACATATGCTATTTTTTAAAACATCGTTAACATTGAACGGCTATCAGCCGATGGTGTTTGCATTGCCTGTTATGACAAACTCTATACTGTACACGAGATAGCCTAAAATGTTGACATCTTTTTTAATTTTTATGCACGAAATAACAGAAATATGGGCGATAATTATTGACATATTTTAACCGTATCTAAAGGTTATTGACAAATATGGATGAATTTTAAACTATCTAAAATATTACTGACAAATATAAATGGACAGGAAAGGAAACAGTATTGTGTTTAATTTGTGTAGTAATTTATCATAAACTTTTGAGGTAGCTTCACCCGGTCGACATGTGTTGATTCTAGGGCAGTTATTTCTTGAACTCCCGACTTCGGTGTCTACACGGGAAAAGCCTAGATTCGCTTAAAGTTATGTATTAGGCGCACCCATTCTAGAAAATAAAATATTTGGTAAAAAAAGTGCGCCTAATACACCGAAAAAATACGGTATTACTTTTTTATCTGAAAAATGTCATAGTCTAGTGAATCAACCACATGGGTTTGCTTCTATGGCCATGGTCTTAGTCTCGGAATTCCATTCCCAGACACAAAGATAATGTTGGCGAGTGAGGGTAGCTCTATAATTTGAAATCTAACTATTTTAACACCCAACAGATACAGGGTCATAACCAGAAAAACCAGCGGCTGCCAGGCAGGATACACCCACAGAATTTTTTGTACAATCAGGGGCAAATATCAAAAGAGACCGAGATCTTCGACATAAAGATATGTTTTAAGTTTCATCAAAATCGGATAAAAATTGTGATCTCTACAGGGTTCACAACCTTCGTATTGCATACTTTTACTCAATTTGCGTATACAAAGAGCGGCCATTTTGTCGGGCAGTTTCATTTCGATTTTCCCGAAATTCAAATTCAACCTTCATTATGGTGGAATGGTGATATATTAAAACAGTTTTTAAAATCGGAAAAAAAATTGTGACCTCTAGAGAATCCACAAGCTAAACAAGCCAACAGTGAGGTTGATTTCCCCCGCCTATCAAGCAATCAAACTATACACTAAGTTTCATCACTCTCTATCAGAGAGAATCAGGAAATTGATAAGCTCTGCTTAGCTTCAGCTAGAATGTTAATCATTGAACTCAAGTCAAGACATGCAGCTAATGAACATCTACATCAAGTCTAAACATTCTACCTAGCAGAGTTGTTATTTTCCAGAGTCTTGACCAACCAAATTGCTTATCGCTCATTAGCCTAAGCAGAAAATTCTCACAAACGAACTTAAATTTAGCTGTTCTTGTAAAGCCCCTATTTCCATATTAAGTCAAAGGTCAATAGGGAGATATCTATGCCCTAAACGTACAAATCACACTCTTACTACTTCTCAGTGATACCTACTTCATATTAAACTTGTCATTTGTAATCATTCTTCCAAGCACGTACACGTAGCATGAGATAGCCTCACTCATAGGTAGTGACTGATTGACAAACAGTATTTATTAACCTCGGCACTCTATACACAAAGTCTCAAAAGGAAACAGAATAGTTTGATGTCATGAAATAATATTAAAATTGACAGGACAGTAAAATCGTTTACATTATTGCTCGAGCGATGCCGGGGAGGGGGTCAAAGTTGACGATATTGGTACTACCGTACAGCATGGCTATAGTGAAAACTGAAATGGACATGTGTAGTAAATTCTTTGGAAATATAGCTGACATGTTAAATAGTCAAACTCATTTCTCATTTTGTGTTTGAAAATCCAAAGGTACGCTTTTAAATATTTATGGCATAACTAACCAACCTGCTTGCAACTGGTCAATAGCCTGCGGTGTCAAAATATGTGATCTGTCAAAGTACCGGTAAGATGGAGAAATAAAATGCCAAGAATGAATGGATTTTGTGCTATAA